TGAGGATCTTTGATACCTCCGTGGTGTAACCATTCATTCAGCATGGTCATGTAGGGCCGACTGGCGTCGCGTAGTAATGTCTGAAGCAAGGTCTTTGTTGTCGGGTCACCTGAGAACGTAGCCAGACGTTCTGTTAGGAGGCGCAGAATGTTTCCTCCTTTGCACATTTTCTTGCGTGCCATGGCCCCTGGAACCAGGTCTCCTCCTTCCTTGAGCTGTTCAAGGATATTGTCAACATCATCGAAGTCGTCAATGGACTCATCCAGATCTTGATCTAATAGACCATTTCGACGCAACAATTCCTGGCCCATGGAATAAAGCTGTGTTAGACACTGAGCGGTAGGCATCGTGTGAAGGTGTAGTAGGTGCAAGGTGAATGTAGGGTTGTTCAACAGCTGGCTTTCCAGCTGGGCGATAAGGATCAGGTAGTCCTTGAGAAGCTTCCTAATAGATGCACACAATGAGTGACTAACAGCGCCACACTCAGCTCGGCTTTGAATCTCCACAAATGCCTCCATGGCGCTGTAATGTGTCGCCATCTTTAACATGGACTGGGTGAGATCTCGTAGGGTTGGATCGATGCCTGAGGCCATTTGGAAGACCGGGCCCGTCAGGCGGTCTTTTTCGACGGAAGGATCATACGAGCTGGCGTAGTGAATGTATTGACCTTCGAATCCCATAAAAACAAACAACAAGTCCTCCAGGATTGCTGCTTCTTGCGCATCGGGGGAGAGCTCTCGAAGCGGTCGAGGTTGAAGCGACTGCGGAGCTGTCGAGGCGAGAGGGGGGACTGATACGCGACATGCGAGCGGCGCCGTAGAGCGAGGAATCAAGGAAGCTTGCGGATCCCACGGCGCTGTATAAAAACGGGCAGATTAGTTTAACCATCACAGCCTCGCCGGCGAGATGCGGCACAAGACCACTTACTAGTCGAGTCATTCTGGGGATTCGAGCTTGTGCCATCGGCCTGAACAGGTCTCTTAGGCCGAGTCTTATCCCAATCGCCTCGGTTGGCCGCGCTGAGAGATTCCTTGACAGGGTTCCTTCGCACTGCCTTTTCCCTTGTTGTGATCACGGCGCGCTCTGTGCGCTTTTCGGACATACTCTTTTGATCACGCGATACTCTGTGCTTCTGGCTCGAAGTACTCGCGCGCGAAGGCTCCATGTTCTCGGTTTGAAGCGGCGACGCTCCGCGATTTTCGGCATTGACGCGATTGGAGACAACGCGGGGTCGTGAAGCGCTCATATAGGCGCGGTCATTGGCAGACATAATCCCGCGAGGGCAACAAGTATATCACGTAGCATAAGAGATCAAATGCGAATAAGTTAATGGCCTGGCGCAAAGGTAGGGAAGAGTGATATCCAAACAACCAAACAACCTTCGAACTCCACTCGGGTTTGGGCAGAAGCGTGCCTTGGTGCCTGAGGCGACACTAGGCGCTCACCTCTTACGTCGCGAGCTTCCTTCCCGAGCTTCAGACACCCTCTGCTCCTTTCCATCCTCTCCATCGCCTGTCTTCTTTGCTTCTTTTCTCGACTAGTCCCTTCAGCCCTTTCAGATCATCCATCATGTTTATTGCCCGATCGGAATATGGTAAGCTTCGTCAAGGTCCCCTCGCCGCGGATTCAACTAACAGCTGTGGACAGACCGTGGAATCAAGTACGTCCTCCACTTACGATGCGTGGCCCCTCTTCGATGAATCCCCAGTCTGACAATGGTTGTTTCCCAGCACCTTCTCCCCCGAAGGTCGATTGTTCCAGGTCGAATACTCTCTTGAAGCTATCAAGCTAGGCTCCACAGCGATCGGAGTATGTATACTATATCTTCTCTTTTTCACTACGCCGGTCGATTGAGCATATGGAAGGCACCCACTCGAAGCCCTCATATCGTTATCGAAACGCCGAACGGAGGATGATGCGACCCCGGAACAGTTCTTGCTGACATTCACCCAGGTAGCAACATCCGAGGGTGTGGTCCTCGGTGTCGAGAAGCGCGTCACATCTACCCTCCTTGAAGCGTCATCCGTCGAGAAGATTGTCGAAATCGACCAGCACATCGGCTGTGCCATGTCCGGTCTGCAGGCCGATGCCCGGAACTTGGTTGAACACGCCCGCGTGGAATGCCAGAATCACGCTTTCCACTATGCTGAGCCTCTGCGGGTTGAAAGCACCACTCAGGCAATTTGCGATTTGGCTCTGCGATTCGGTGAGAGCGGTGACGACGAGGAGAGTGTTATGAGTAGACCTTTCGGTGTTGCGCTGTTAATTGCTGGTTACGATGAGGACGGGCCACAGCTGTAAGAGATACTATTCGCTTTCTTATTCTGATAGCCTCGCTAACCTCCGATATTTTTTTAGATACCACGCTGAGCCATCTGGCACGTTCTACCGGTATGACGCCAAGGCCATTGGCTCGGGAAGCGAGGGCGCGCAGGCCGAGCTCCAGAATGAATACCACCGGTCTTTGACCCTAGCAGAGGCTGAGACGTTGGTTCTCAAGACATTGAAGCAGGTTATGGAGGAGAAGCTTGACTCGAAGAATGTCCAGCTTGCTAGCGTGACCAAGGAGAAGGGCTTCCGTATTTACGGCGATGAGGAGATGGGCAATGCTGTCGCACAACTCGGTGGGAATCAATAAACGAGCAGTTGTGGATGATGTGTCCTGAATTTATCAGGCTCGATATTGGGGCTAGTATCTGTTCAGAGCAATAGAAAAATAATGATGCCGCCCAAGTTTATGTCTATACATGTATTGATTGAGATACAGATCATGCATCCATGGTAATTTTGAGCTATATACAAGGAAAGACAGATAAGACTAGCGGATCTTATACACACAAGGCTTCAACACCTGAGCCTCCTGCTCAGCAGTCATACCAGACTCAGACTCAGGCTTGCGGTCGACAAAGCGCTTCTTACCAGGAGCCGCAGGCGCACTCAAAGCCGAAGCATGTTTGCCCTTCGTAGGCGCACCACCCTGCTTGACAAACACCATGCGCACAAACATCTTATTAGACTTGTCGACAGACTCCTGACGAAGCATGAAGCCACGAGAGCGGAACACCTCCACAAAGGCAGAGATATCAGTCTCATCACCGTTATCAGAGGGACGCGCATCCTCAGCAAAGATCTCCGCCTCATCCAAGTCAGAATCAGCATCATCCTTGCCACCCTTCTTCTTGGGCTTCTTCTTGTCAATCTTGCTACCAGGCCTCTGGGCGCCGATCTGCGACTTCTTGCGCGTCACCTTGCCAAATCGACTCTTCACCTCACTAACCCAGCACTCGCCCTTGCCGTCGCCGCGCAGAACACGCCATGCCTCTTCAACGAACGAGACCCAGTTGGTGCCCATCAGACTGAGACAGAAGATAGCCACGTCCACTGAGCCATCCTCCAATGGGAGGTTGGAGATATCAGCCTTGGTAATCAGCGCATCGGGAGCTTGCAGATCGTAGCTGTTAAGCTTGATGTTCAGTTTCTTGGCGGAAGGAGTCAGGGCACGCGACAGCGCCGCATCACCACAACCCAGGTCGGCGAAGGTGCATGATCCATTCGGGCGGCGCGGGAGCGGGTATCCCTTTGCTGGGTTGAGGGGCTTGCCTCGCTTCGGGAGGGGGATCGCACCGCGGTGGCGGATGGTCTTGATGTAGCCGTCGACCGGGTTGGAGGGCCAGGATTCCTTCACCTGTCTTGAGAATCCGGCGTGGTACTCATCGAAGAGCTCCGGGTTGGCATTGAACATGTCAAGCGCTTTCGCGGATGGTGTGGTGTAGAGTGTTTCGTTCAGGTGGCGGAACCGGGAGGAGATCAGCTTCTGTCGCATCGCCTGCTGGAGGGGTGTCAGGTTTGATGCTGGTGGTGGTGGTGCTGGCGCAGCGGGAGCAGGAGCGGGAACTGCTTCAGTTGAGGGAGCTACATCGTCTGTTTGCTCCGCGGCCTCGGCGTCCTTGTCCTTGTTCTTCTTGTTTCGCTTCTGCTTCTTCTTGGGTGCCTTTTCGTCGGCTTGGTCTGTCTCGGCGCTGGGGGCGACAGCTTCGCTGGCAGGCTTCTCGGATGCGGCCTCGGGTGCCTGCTTCTCCTTCTTTTCCTTTTTCTGCTTTTGCTTCTGCTCTGGCTTCACGGAAGCGTTCGCACCCCTTCCACCTTTTGCAGGGCCTCCGGTCTGGCCCTCGATATGCCGGCGGTACATCTCATCTACATTGCCTGCGTTGATAGCGCCATTGCCGCGCTTGCGCTTGTTGTTCTTCGCATTGGGCTTGGTATCCTTCTGTTCGGACTCATTCTGAGGCTTGGCGGACTGAGTCTGGGGCTTCAGAGCATCGCTCGAAAGCGACCATCCTGGGACAGCGAACATGGTGGGATAGGATTGGCGAGTAGCGGCCAATACCTTCAGATATGCGAGACTGGGGTGGGGACTGGGTGATGTTCGAGCTCTCAAGAAAGAAAAAAAAAAGTAGCTCAAAATTTCGTTATCAGTGGTAATCTTACTATCGGTAACTTACAATACGACGCCTTAGGCCTCAGGTGTCTATATTTGCATCCTCAGGCTTCACAAGGCTCCGCGCCTTAACACCTATGGGAGTTGACCGGATCAGAGGACCTGTTTAGGTCTCCCCGACTGTCATATATTCAGAGTCGATTAGCACCAATAGGAGACCCCGATCCGATCGGCTGTTATAGATGTATAACTCAGTCCAGGCGCCTCATAAGCCGGGAACCCTGAGCCCTGCGTAGATGAATTAAATGAACGTGTATTAGTAGAGGAGTTCATGCTAGGCAAATCGATATAAATTAAATGAACATATAAGATGGAAAGTAATGGGCGGAGGAAGCTTGGATCTCGGCTGATCTGCGCGGCAGCTTTAACCCTCCATCCAAACCTCGTTAGCTTCCTCACATCTACTCCGTACTTCTCTCTTTGAGGTCCCTTTTGGTCCCACAATGTCTTCCATGCATAAATACCCTCTTTCTCTCTATACTGTCTAGTCACACTTTTTACCATGGATGAAGATCTCCATGACAATCCGAGTCCCATCGAGTCTGCGGAGGCCTCGTCCGCACGGTCAGGTCCCCGCAGACTCCCGAAGAAACGGACCAAGACTGGTTGTTTAAGTATGTTGCATGATGGGTGAGAGATGGTTCCCCGTTGACCAAGTCTAGCTTGTCGAAAGCGCCGCATTAAGTGCGGCGAAGAGAAGCCGATCTGCACCAACTGCGTCAAGTCAAAGCGAATCTGTGAGGGCTATGCCCAGCGAGTTGTCTTCAAGAATCCCATCGGTATCTTCGGGTCTTTTGGTCCCCTACATAGTCAGGATCCCCAAATGCTACAGCAGCATATGGGAATGCCCATGTACAACGACTATGGCTCGCAACTCCCTCCCCAGCAGGCCGCTGCCGCCGCTCAGCATCCAATGCTTGCCCCGCGCCCTGTTGATCCAGCTACGATGGGTTACAGCTCTTTCCCGCCACAGATGCCTCAGCCAGATAGGACTCAGCCAGGAAATACTCCTCCGTTCTACTACCCACCTGGTCCAATGCCAGTGCAAGCGCCGACCCATATGTGGCAGATCGGGCAATTGGGTCATACAGAGGGCATGCCGGTCCCACAAGCCAGCGCTGATTACTCACAGGTACAGCACCCAGTTCATCCGGATGAATCGAGCACGCCACAAATGCCACAAACAAGCATACAATATCCGCCTCCGATCACTAGCCCGATCGGGCAGACGGCTGAAGAATACGCCTCGAACCTGTCCCCAGTTCCGGCTCTCAATGCTGTATCGGGAAGAAATCAGGACATTTCAACTCAGGTCTGTATCGCCCTGAGTCTCCCTAGTGTTTGTAATGAGCATGCTGAGTATTGTTTCCTAGATGACTCAACCTCTGCCGACTATATACCATTATCAGCCACCACCGGGACAATTGCCACAGCAATCAGGTCCTCTTGAACAGTACATTCCCCAGCAACCGCAGGTGATATATATGGAAGATGAAACCGAGGACTATTACGATGTGGACTCGGACGATGAGATGGACGACCAATCCCGGGCCGAAGGCTTCAACCAGCTGAGTCTCATTATGGCGTCTGCCAACCGCGACGAGCAACAACTACGCTCCTTTACAACTTATTTGAATGAGCCTAATATTCTCGCCTCGTACCGTCCTTCATATGGTTCTTCTCCTTTGAACAATCCCAAAACAGCCCGCATCTTCGCCCACTTCATTCATTCCACCGGCCCCTCTTTATCAATATTTGAACGTCATCCTACCGACTCTTCGATTGTCCTAGGGGCTGCCGTGCCCTCCACACGGCAAGGTTTATGGACCTATACCCTTGCTCTCAAGGCTTTGGAGCACCCCGCGCTGCTCCAGTCCATTTTGGCAGTCAGTAGTTTGCATATTGCAAACTTGCAGCATACTCCTGCAACAGTATCCCTGAAACACTACCACTACGCATTAAAGCGAATTGGATATGCAGTCGGCCTTCCCCACCGGCGCAAACAAATCGGCACACTGGCTGCTACTCTCCTGCTTGGCTACTACGAGGTGATATCGGCTGATCACTCCGGATGGAACAACCATATTGCCGGAACCGCCCAGCTAATTCGAGAGATCGACTTTGCTAGCACGACCAGAGACCTTCGAGCTCATCGACGCAGGCTACACGAGCAGCGACGCCAGTCGGACTGGTCGAATTCATGGTGGGGGATGTCTGGCGATATATCCGAGGATGATCCCTTCGAGGAGAAAGAAGGCAACATTGATGAAGACCTCATCGGAACCCTTATGGGTCGTTCAATCAACTATGACCAATTTGGTGTTATTGACGAGGGCAACACACAGCCACCCAAGAAGCACTTTACTCGCAAGGACATTGAGGTTTTCCGAATCCAGTGCGATCTCTACTGGTGGTTCTTCAAACACGATGCATTCCAGAGCTTTATTGGAGGGAACAAACTATTGTAAGTCTCCGCGTACTGGAAATGGGAATGCCACTTGCTGACAGTGGAAGGTTGCCCTTCTCTCAACGGGGTCAGTGTCCGCCCCGAGCGGGTATCGGTCGGTTAGATGCCATCTATGGCTCGGCAGATCATCTATGGATGTTGCTCGCTCGAGTGACGGACTTTGGCCTGCGTGACCGGAAGCGAAAACTTAGAACGTTAAAGGCAGGTGGGAAGGACTGGAGGCCTGGTCCTGAGATGTTCAAGTTCATGGGTCGCTTTGCTGGCGGTCCCCCTGGCCAAAGACCGGGGCCTCCTGGTGGTCCAGGTCCAGGCCCGGGTGGTCCACCTGGTGGCCCCCCTGGTCCCCCTGGTATGCAGCCTGGAGGCCCGGGCGGACACCCGACAGCGGAGCCTGCTGGGCAATCACCTCCATCTGCTGACAGCCCTCCCATGTATGGGATGGTACCCCCTCAGCCCCCGACTCGACTGCCGTCTGGATTCGAAGATAGACCGCGTGAGCCGCGGGCGTCACCTGACGCGGATGACCAGAACGAGGTGAGTTACAAGGAAGCAGAGCAGGACTGGGAAGAGATCTTAGCTGCTATGGAAATCTTTGCCCATGCGCTGGGCCGTGACTTTCAGCCTCTGCCAGCGGATGTCACGCTTCCGATCGCGACTCCCTTCGGCCCCGCCCTTCAATATCGTACGCACACCATCGCCGTCATCTGGGGATTCTACTATGCTGCGCGGCTTTTGCTGAACCGGCTTCATCCTTCCATGCCGCCGGCCATCATGATGGCAGCAGGAGTGGCTGCTCCGACGACTGCCGAGTTAGCGCAAACCATTGGGAAGATCTTCTCGGGTATTTACTACCCGCAACGCCATAGCCTCGAAGCCGGCAGTCTCAATCCCAATCTGGGTTCGTCATTGACTGAAATGACGGTTCCACTTTTCTTTGCGGCTGTACAGTATACCGATGCTAATCAGCGGGCTTGGACGATTGCCAAACTCCGAGATATCTCTCGTCTGACAGGATTCAAGTCTTCTGAGGCTGTTGCCGGTGGCTGTGAAAAGGCATGGACTGTGGCTGCCAAACAAGGTCGGGGGCCGCCATATCAACGGTCATTCGAGACTGCGCGAGAGCGGGAACGTCAACGAGAGGTAAGCATGCTCCAAAACCCTGGCAACATGGTCGCTAAGTTTCATGCGCCACAGGAGGCTGTGCTGGAAATGAGTGACGATCGTCGTTTTGTGACGGTCAAGAAAGATCGGTCTCATTGGGCTATGGGGATTTTAGAGGAGGACATAGCCAACTTGGAAGTGTAGGCAGCATAAAGCAAGGCATATCATACAGTAGTGCCCGAATTAGTGTACGCGGAGATATACCCCCACATAGTCTTACCCAATGTCATCATTGATCGACTTCTGCCTGACTTGCCTATTTATTATTTTGTGGCTTTTCTTCTCGTAAGGCTGACCTTACCTTTCCCTTCTAGTCCCTTCAGCTCTCTCTCTCTCTCTCTTCACTTCCACTTGCGTATCTACTCTCACCTCACCCGTGGTTCGCACTCTCGGTCCGCAAGTCAGCCGCCCGCGTCATCCACGGTTCACGTCATCCCGGACTTTGTCTTTGTCTGCAGGTGATAGCCATGTCTCGCTATGACGATTACCGTTCGTCAACAGGGACGTTGGACTCGCGAGACCGCCGCGATCGCTACTCACGGGGCCCAGCCGTGGTCGAACGACCCCGCCATGCCGAAGAACGCTTCGAAGCCCGGCTCCGCGAGGAGGACAGATACGGACCCCCTGCACGCGCACCAGGGCGCTTCTACGAGGATGAATACCTAGACCACCCGGCTCCTGCAGGCCCTCTCGTGGCGCATGATCGGCGCCGACGCCGTGATGAGAGCCCCTCCTTTGAACGTCCCCGGCTTATTAGGCGGCAGTCGTCGCTGGACACCTTTGATCGAATCCCACGGCGCAAGATGGAGGCTCTCGATGCCCATGCCCGCGACCGTGCCCCTCGCATGCCCCGCGTTCCTGCTCCGCCTCATCGCCACTTCTCCCCCGGTCGTTATCGGGAGCGCGAGGTCTATGAGGATATTAGGATCGCTGAGCCCGATTATTATGGTGATGAGGAGTTCAGAGATGTTCGTGAGAGAGACATGGTAGACCATCGTCGCCGCTCGAGCAGCAATGCTCGTAGACATCATGAGGAGAAACCTTACCCGCGCAAAGGGAAGACCCGTGTTCCTCGTCACCTTGCCCATGTCCATGCCATCTTGGATCTAGGCTATCCGTTCAAGGAGGAGGTTGGTATTTTGGCTCTGATGTTATCTCCAGTTACTGACTTGTGTAGGATGATGTGATCGTGATCCAGAAGGCCTTATCAAAGGCTCAGATCGATGAAGTCATCGCCTTGAGTCGCGAGTTCAGGAGGCCTCCTAGCCCGGTAGAGAGTGAGTGGCATTCCCTATCTCTTTTTCGAAAGACCAATCCTAACTTGCGACGCCGAGCAGCTGAATACCTTTCCCCTGTACGAGAGCGTCCGCGCGAGCGTGTCACGACTGAATACTTGCAAGTCGAGGCAGCTACTTCTCCGCGCTCGAGTCGTGACACATTCATTGTTGAGGCCGCACCTTCACGACACAGGTCACACTCGCGCCATCACCACCATGATCATTACGAAGAGATTGTGGATAGACCAATAGTGCGAGGGATCTCCCGGCCACGTTCGGTATCAGTCCACGCACACCACCCTGTGCAGTACATTGAACAGCGAGAGCTCGATAATGCTCGGGCCGGCTCAATGGTCCTTGTGCGTCCACGAGACAGTGATAATGATGTGAGCGATTACATTCGTGAACTTGAGGAGGAGACTAGACTTCTTCGCCTGGAGAGACAGGGTGGCATTGAGATTACCCGGCAACGCGATACGGAAATCATTGATAACAGAGGGAATGAGGAGGAAGTTACGGAGGTTCGGAGACAGGAGCGCAGAGGTATGATTCTGCAAACTATTCTCATCTTGATTTCATAATTCTGACATTCTACAGAGCCCAATTCTCGCATCGTGCGCGCTATGATGGCTACTCTTACTTGAGCATTGCACAATCTCGCACGATTCGGCAGGGATTTGATGACGCTATGACATTAATTTGATTCTGGGAGATTTCCGGATGTTTCTATGTATTTTTCTTAGTTTCCGCTGAATATTATCTTTACAAAGCGCATTGTTGCCTTGTTTGTTGCCTGTGGCGGTGCAGATGAGGCGGTGCATTGCCCGAGCCTCGACCTTCATAGCTGCACATGTGGTAATTATCCTATCATCTCTTCACCCACACCCCATTTCTTCCTCTTTCTTAGTCAATTTCCTGAGTAATTACGCAATCATGGATCGAGTGCAGGCATTCGGAAAGAACTTCAGGTGAATACAACCCCTCACCCCTCACCCCTATCCCGCGGACCGTCAACCTAATCCGACTGTGGCCGATCGCGTTACTGACATCTTCTTGCCTTGTGGTTTTCTGACGGACAGCGCAAACTTCACACCTTTTGCGCAGCGTACCCAGCAGTTGATCAAGGAGCAGCTTGGCCAAGCCGACGACAAGACCCAACTTCCGGATGAATACATCGAGCTCGAGAAGCGCGTCGATGCGCTCAAGCTCGTCCACCAGAAGCTCTTGCAGGTGACGTGAGTGATACCCACTCCCTCGCCATGCTACGGTGCATGCATATCGCCCGCAGCTACTGACCAGTGCTGCCACCAACCAGGTCCCAATACTCCAACGAGGCCTACGACTACCCTCCCAACATCCGCGAATCCTTCAACGACCTGGGCCGCACCATCAACGAGAAGGTCCAGCTCCTCTCGCAGGCAGGCTCGCCCGCCGAAGCCCAAGCCGCCCTGACCGCCCCACCAAGCGCAAAGCCCCAGCCCAAGACCTTCAACCACGCCATCGCACGCGCCTCCCTGGCCGGCTCGCAGACCCTCGCGCAGAGCTCCGAGGCCGAGGACCCGCTCGCCAACGCGCTTGAGAAGTATGCCCTGGCTGAGGAGAAGGTTGGCGAGGCCCGTCTCGCTCAGGATGCGCAGATCCAGTCCCGCTTCCTGGCTGGCTGGAATACCACTCTTAACACCAACTTGATGTTTGCCGCTAAGGCGCGCAAGAACGTTGAGAATGCCCGCTTGATGCTTGACTCTGTTAAGGCTAGCAAGAAGGCTGCTGCTCATGGTGATCTCGACAACCTCAGTGAAGACGCCCGTGCCGAGATCGAGCAGGCTGAGGATGAGTTCGTTGGTCAGACTGAGGAGGCCGTGAGCGTGATGAAGAACGTGAGTTTTTGCTTTCCCTTTGGTTGATTTTTCGAAATTGTGGAGTTTCTTGTTATGTTGACACGTCCGCTAGGTCCTTGATACCCCCGAGCCCCTGCGCAACCTGGCCGACCTGATCGCCGCTCAACTTGAGTTCCACAAGAAGTCTTATGAGATCCTCAGCGAGCTTGCCCCGACTGTGGATGCACTGCAGGTCGAGCAGGAGGTAAGTTTTCATTGATAATCATCCTTGAGTATCACAACTAACTAGATCTAATTAGGCTAGCTACCGCAAGAGCCGTGAAGGCGCGTAAACGAGTTATTAGGTGCCCTTTTCTTTTATTTGCCCTGCCTGGTTCTGGCTTTATCTGTTGTTTCGAGCCATGGCTATTGTCTGTATCTAAGCCGCTTTGCTTCTGCTGTGCCATCCCAGGGGATCACCCAGTAATTTTTGGACTTGGAATTTATATCCACTTCGTAGACCAAATATCACAAGTATCAAAGACTTAACTTAGATTGTAGATTGTATAAGTTGGTATAGAGTAGCTGACCCCACCGCCCGCCCGTTGTGGCCTAAGGCAGTATCGCGCTAGCTCCAGGAGCTCCGACATCAGATACTCTAACTTGCCAGGTCGCGCTTCCCAGCTGACAACCCCGACGGCTGCATACTTTTCGAAAAGAACATCTGAAAATCCGATCCTTTGAATCCACATCCAACTCACCATCGACCTGACCCCAATCGTGCCACGCTACACGGAACATCGAATACTTGTCTGTATCCAGTCCGCGCCGTCGAGTGAATCGGACTGTCGAGACGACAGACAATTCAATCTAGTGAACCAACACTAGAATCAACAGTCAACAGTCTGCTCCCTCTCGAATTCTCCACGTCCGTCACGCAGGATTCCCCGAGACGAATCCCGCATAACACGCTTCGACACTTCCGCCCCGGGTTTGCGCTTCACCCTAAAATACATTACCAAATACCGACAAAATGGCAAACGGGTACGTCTTCTCTTCCTGGGAGGTATCTGGTGAATACATCATCTATACACAATTACAAAGTCCTATAACCCGGCTGGTTACTCGACTACACGAGTCTCTGTCTCGACGATCCTATCCCGCCACACCAAACCCTCCTCATGATCCACACTATTTTTCCTCAGCACATTCCCTATCATGTACTGACACTTCTTCTAGCTGGAGCTTGGTCATCGGCTTGATCATCATCGTTGCTGCATCTGTTGCTGCATGGTTCCTCAGCCCGAAGGGCGAAAACCAGACGTGAGTTTAGACCCCGGTGTTGGATATTGAATCTATCAGATCTCTCAATATGAGATATGGAATGGGGTGATTGTGCAAGATATTGACTCTTTCTTTACTCTAGACTCTTCCGCAGCACGCTTATCCTGACCTTTGTTTCTTGTTACTTGATGTGGGGTACGTATTCCGATTATCTTCTTGCTCATGTCTACCAACCGCTATATCTTCTCTTCGGGATATGGTATGGTGGGCTCTATATATTGCAACGTTACTGACATCTCGGCTTCTATAGCAATTGTCTTCCTCTCACAGTGGCATCCCCTCATCGCACCGAAGCGCGCAGACATCAGACCTGACCGGGTACCAAATTAAATGTATCTCCATTTTTGGTTTCTGGTTTACTTAGTTTCTTCTTCTGTCATTGACAGGCTTTTCGGGGAGGTTCTTGTTTGAGGTATTGTATTGTCTTTGGAATATGGTCTATTCTATTCCATGCATTCATGAGCTCTAGTTAGATTGGGATCCAGCTGTTCCTGGTCCACTCTACATTGCGGACATTAAGTTGGATTTGCACCTTTGTTGCAGGTGCTTTTGTATAGTCTGGTTTATTCTATGCTTGGTAGCGTTCCATCAATTATTTTCATCAAGTCACTGTTTCTGTTTAGTAGAGGTCTCTAGGGCCAGTTTTGTTCTGCTGTACTTCATAAGTTTGGGTTGCTTTAATGTCGCTAAGTTTCTTGGTAGAGAGATATATATATCTACGAGTGTAGAATTTATTCAGACTCGAAACTCGAACCTTGAAGCCGATGGATTCCGGCTAAATTATGATTATGTATCGAATATATATAAATGCATCACGGTCTAACAACAAACAAGGAATCTATTATCCAACCCCAATAGCACCCAGAATAACCCTCTGCACCGCCCACCGCGCAACCTGACCAGCAACCGCAACCGCAACAGCGCGCAGATAACCACAACCGAGTAAGATGTACAATGCCTCAATATTACTTAATAGCACGAGATGCGTATCGACAACACCAAGTGAAAGCAACGACGCAAGCAAATCAAAAAGCCCAGTCAGATGACTAGTCGGCGTAGAACTCCACAAAGACGAAACCAACCCCGCAAGCCGCGATTCCAGAAACGAAGCAGGAACCGGTGTAGCAGAGGGAGATGACGAGATCGCTGCTTTCGCTGAGAGAACGGAAGACGCGCTTGTAGCTCCGGAATATAGACTCTGGTGCACTGTACTGGGCATGGTAGCCGGCTGTGTCGCAGATCGGATTGTCGCCGCTGTATGGCTGTGCGCTGGAATATTGGAGAGGCTGCCGCTGCCGTCGGCGCCCCAGATTACCAGTAGGATGGGGAAGAGCTTCGCGCAGCTGCTTACTAGTAATGCGGTGCTGATTGCTGCTGGGCTTGCTGCCGTTGGAGGGGGGAGGGGCTGGATGTTCTGTAGCGGGGCTGTTGAGGCACGACGTAATGGTGGGGCTGGTCGTGGTGGTGGGATTGGTGGTGCTTGCGCATCGATTGGAGAAGTAACCTCGCTGTATGTGCCCAAGGCTTGAGTGGACTTTGATGGACTTGCTAGTGGGTTTGCTTGGTTTTGGGTTTGGGCGGTTACTGAGACAGCAGATGGGGAGGGCCGGATGGTTGGCGTCGGGGGTCCCGAGGGGAATGGGGTGGCATCGCCTGTGTTTGTTGTGGTGGCATTGTTGCTGCTGTCTGGGCCGCTGTACCGGCGGGACTTTGGGACCAGAATTGAAGCTAGCAGGCGGACGGTTAAGTGGTGGGCGAGGGTTGCGGCGGCGTTCAAGCTTAGGAAGAAGAGGTATTGGACGATGATGGGGGCGCGCGAGAGGAACGTCGCTGCGAGGGATGGGTCCTTTTCAATGCGTGCCCAGGTCAGGTAAACGTCGAAGAGGAGTAGGAGAACACCGAGGCGGATGATAGATCGCTATAGGGCCATGTTATCAGTTAGGGAACCGCAATTGTGTTGGATCCTACACTCACATCGAACCGATTGTCGTCGCGTCCGAGCCGATTGAACAAAAGGTGCCGGTATACCTATTTTCAGCCATTGTCAGTGGCTTGCCGTATTCTCTGGACTTCACATAGAGCTTACCTGGGGTTTAATAAGCACCAAGTCAATGAACAGCACAACGAAGTCATATTCGACATATTTGTCGGCAAATCGCTGGCAACGCGGGCATTGCGTCAGTCGCACACCCTTGCCTTGAGACCGGTCATCGGCGCGACTGTAAGCACTGTACAGGTGGGAGACCGGATAAGAGCATTCGATGCAGATGGGCATCGTGTCATGATCTGAAGCAGTGTTCAAGTTGTTGCTCCCCTATATATACAAAGGCGGTGAGTTAGTTGGATACGTTCTAGATCTACAGAGCTCTATATATGAAAACGACCTAATAATTAGGCCCGAGGCCATAAGAATATTATAGTCTAATACTATCCTAAGATGATCAGAGTCCACTTGATTCGTTAAAGAAAAAAAGAGCAAAAAAAAAAAAAAGTTTGGTGTAGTAGGAAAAAAAGAAGAAAAAAACAAACTCCGATAGGGGGAATCGAACCCCCGGCTGTCGTGTGAGAGACGACGATGTTAGCCACTACACCATATCGGATTTTGGATGGAAACCGAAGCGAGATTTGACAATATAGCCCAATGGGTTTAGCGCTCTTTGTCCTTTTGAGCAAAACGAGCAATCTAGCAGACGACAATCCGCTAATTATGACAATTATTTTCCCACCCTTTGCAGGGTCTCCTATCGCCCCCCAAATCTCTATGTAGCATTATCCTGAAATTATACGGTCTCCCCCCCGCAACGTTCCATCCATGACATTGGTACCAGTTAGAGCTTTCATCCCCAATGAAGAAGTCGGATTGAGCTTCATCAAAGAAGTTCTTTAGCCAGATTTCGGTTTCGTACCTGCTTAGTCTAGAGCTGATCTTTTGGAAGAGCCCTGACGAAGCTGCTTCTTTGGAAGTCTGGAACGCGAACTGATTTTCCACCTGGAAAGTCTTGGAAGTTTCGTTGAACCGAGCTCGAGTTAGGACAGTCACCGGTGCTAGAGGATGCTGAACGGTGCAGAGATGTGTAAATGTCCCAGATAATTTCTGATAATCTGAACGCTTTAAAGTCTCCAGTTGAGATCGAAAGTACTCAATTGGATGTTGTTTTTGATGGAATGTGATACTCGAGCATGGACAAATGTCAACTCTGTCATCGTGTTGGACGTCGCACCAAGCATTGCACTTGGATGTAGCGGGCTTTGGATCACATCTCCAACCAAGTTGAAGAAACTGCCATCTAGAGTACTGGTGAAGATTTTGACATCTACAACAGTATACCCAGCGTTCGTTTTGAAGGCGACGAAGTAACAACGTCCTGGACAATGTTGATAGTACACTTATTCCACGTTGTCTGTTATATGAGACATAGCAGGCATGCAACCTCTTACAACTCAGTGCAAAACAAGCTCGGTCTAGATCGGAAAGAAGCTGGAAGATAATTTCCACTATTTCTGCTGGGATCATCCAGAGTGTCTTGGATTTCATGGGTTCGTCCGGTTCGACCCTGGGGGTTGGATCACGGAGTCGCAAAATATTGCGAAAAGATACGCGAGGGCGTCGAGTCATGGTGAGCGTTCATTCAACTGATATATTGAAGGCGTGTACAGGGAATGTTTTGCGGAGGAGGGGGGAAAGGGGGAAGAGAGGGTGATATAGTTTGACACATACTACTATGACACCCACACGTCCACGGGTGTCATAGACCTGTCATAGATCAGCAACCCGTTCATACTTTGTTGAGATATAGCCACGTGACCAGATTAGCCTAAGCTTGAGATACTGTAAGGATCGCATGGTTTCTTATTGGTAGGCTATTGGTGCGTTAATGTATTTCACATGCGAGCCGCCGCCAAGCAAGCTCCCCGCATAAAGATTCAGTGCTGTTGTTCCTTGCAATAGGTGTATTGTTCAGCATCCAAAACTGATGTAGCCATTTTCAAAGGCACTTAATGATAGACAGATTTATCATGCAGAGTAGAAGGTTTGGCCATCCGTCAAAGTAACAAGAGCCCATGCGACGGGAAAGCTAAATGTATAGCCAATCTGGATATAAAGCCTCATTTGAAGAATTAAAATACGCGAATTGCATCTCATTTATAAGAACAGGGTGAAGGTGGCCGGGTGCCCAGCTGAGCAGGGTAGTCATCGCCAGATCCCTCGTATGACGGGATTTTATCTTATATACTTAATCTCTACACAGAAGGAAATCCTTCACGAAATTGCAAGCCGCCTTTCACTTAACAAGACATTATTTTTATTTTCACAGGCTAGCCCATCCAAGCATTGCTTCTTCTTGAGAGAGGAGGATAAGGTAGAGACCGCGACACTATAAGCCAGGCTACAAGATCAGCTGCAAGGCTTGGTGAAAGTGGAATATTTGTTAGAACTAGCCATATTTACTTAGTTCTAAGTCATTGATCCTACCATAACATGTTTTTTATTTGCTGCATCTCCAAGTTATGTCTGACAGGGTTGCTACATAGCTACAAACAAACAAAGTAGTAATCAAATGAAATAACCCTTGCAAGAGCCTTCTGTTTGCTGCATCCACATAGAGGAAGATCCAGGGTAGGCTGACTCTTGGGGTCACATGAATAACGATATATTATGTAGCACATTGCTACATGAAGAACTCCTAGGTGAGTTAGAATAGAGGTCAATCAAATATATAAGAAAGATATTAAATGCCTAAAAGCCTAGGTCGTTAGGCTATTATAATAGTGCAAAGGAAGACTCCACCCTTAATAAAGCGGGATAGGATATATACTACACGTTGTGTTGCTAAATAAGTTATATTTTAATATAGACTAAGAGATAGAGAATAGAGTGGATGATACTTTCTGCGAAGAGGAGAGCTAAACTTAAAGATAATTATTATGAGGTTTATATCAAATTTTAGTTATAATTAACTAGGATTGTATTGACCACATTGATTTAAAGTCTACGTGTAAGTCATCAGAATCAAATAGGACTTCTTTAAGATAAGTGAAACAAGGCGTACACTATCTAATCACCCTCATCGTGTAAGGCTGCTTTTGATACCCAATTGTTCGAGCATACGCTCACCACAGCCACTTTTTACAGGAAGGCGCTAATTGCCTTGAATCAAAATCGGATTGGAGAGTACTCGTACCGAAGCGAAGACCGATGAATTAACTTTGGGATCACAGGAGATATCAGAGATATATTTTGGTCTTGTCTTAACATCCTGGCCGTAGAATGATTGGTATTCCGAGCTTAAAACTAAGTTAACTATTGTAGGATCGTTTTGTGCTATGGCGTAGAGGTCCCGCCGTGGTTGAGCTAGGGTATCAGAGGCTTATTCATGACTTATGTATTCCACTATCTAGATATGGTTAGAAATCTGAAGTCAATCTTAGTTTGAACTAATATAAAATGGCCTTCGCCTAGGCATATTTGAGATAGTATACTTAGCTTCACCTATCGTGAAAGCTATACCAAGGGGCTAGCTAATGTTGCTGTGTCTTACAAGACCCTACATAAAAGCTCTAGAGACGCTAGGTAGTAGGTCCGTACCCGACGTAAAAGAAGATATAGATATAACTTATAGGATATTGGCAGCTCGTGATAGATAAGCTGAGGTTTATAACTGCTAGGGGCTCGTGCTAATACTCCAGCTATCCGGGTCCTATCTAGGAGTAGTTCGCTTGACAGCAGGGGATGCGGACGCGTAAAAAAAAAATCATTTCGCTGAATCGAAATCATTTGGTATCATATAAGTAACTTCGCATGTACTCCCGCAAACCCATCCGCAGTGAATATTACCTCCTTTGCCATACTAGCCGAACGCTTCGCTCAGTTAGCCGACTATAAAGGCCATCACGACATGTTTGAAAAAGCAAACTTGAAGAGGGGTGGTAATCAGGGCCGGACCCTGATTTCTCGGAAACAAACTAGGGTATCCTGTTTTCCATCTTGTTTTCTATCTGATGAATCCGCCTCCACAGTAGCCAAAGCTTGAGGGCTATCAGCTTGATTCTGAGACTGGCTCACAAAGAGCATACCTCAACTCGCTGCTCCAGAGAAGCGAACGCGACTGCAATCGCAATAATATATAGGGCTGTGGTAGTGAAGTCAGCGTCCATTTTGACGTTGAAGGGCAGAGAGAAACGGAATATCGCAGTTGGAGCCTAGAGACGGAGGCAAAAATGTGTAGTTGAGCGGACAGAAGATAACGAGGATAAGAGAGGCCCGGAAGTTTTATTATTCAGGGCACCAGTATGACTCAATAGTTACGGATAGTCTCAAGGATAGGATTTCAGGTCCCGATCAGGTGCCAGAGCTGAACGGGACCCGTCATTAGTACGTCGTCATTCTGAATCGTTCTGGAGTGCAGCTTTCCCTTTTACGGTCATATTCCAGCTATTTCATCCTCCACAAGATGCATTCATTATGTGCCGAGTCTCACTATACGAGTCACGATGACTATCAAGAGGATTCGTGGTCGTGTTGTAGTATATCGCGGACTGTCCTAATCTATTCCCTCTCTGTTATGTTGTAGTGCATCGCGGACTATCCTGATCTGGTTTTGAAATTACTAGATCATTCTGACCTTGCCAACTAATTGTCCTTAAGGTGTTTGAGCGATCGGGGCTTGCAAGTTGATCCAATGTGTTTGGTTGTGCTGCACTGCGCGTTCTGTTCGCAACTTACTCTATTATGCTAACTCTTACTGCGCAGTCCTAAACAAATCGATTTATCCTCACTCCGTTTGATCGTCCGCACTGCGACCGACCGTCTTCCGACTGTCCTTTCTAGCTAAAAGTTGACCCACCGGTCAATCTCTCGGCGATAGCGACGGCATAGCAGCAATATCTAGTTCCGGGTATAGTCGAGGTGGGTAATGCTCTAGCTGAACTGCAAGCAGCTGCCGTGGCTATAGGAGCCGCGGCTCCACATGCTAAGATCGCGGCAATAGTTGCTTATTAGGACCAGTATATCACTCCTGGAAGGGTTCGTATAGAGCGTTCCCTAGCTGCCATAGGCTCCAGTCCCATAGAAGGTTATCACCAAGAAGACCGTGTCAGCCCATCCGCCATAACTTATCGGGACCACAGCCAGGACGAACCGTGGCTGGCAAACGTTAACAATGGACGCAAGATAAGGGATGTACATTGAAGAAGGGGTTGAACGTTAGCAGCTCGTATACTGCTTCAAAGGCACTTTCGTTATTTCTATCTCTATCAACAGCAGTAGAAGGTCTACTACGAGGCCTAGAGGATGATAGTACGGACAAATTAGTCAAAAGTGTTGCTAAATGTTGAACGTTTAATATAGGATACGGGCAATGGCTGATCGGCCGATTCTGATCGGGGCCGAAGAGATTTCGGTCGTAACAGAAACATCGATTCAAGACATCGTCATGACAGACGTTTGTTATCATTTTCTTTCCAATGAAAATGAACTGCCTTGGTGGGGAATTGAATGTATGAGTACAGAATTAAGTTTTTTTTGGCCGAAAGCATCTCGGTCCTCCGAAAGCCTTCGGACTTAACGACTTGACTACGTCAGGACGTACATTCTTCTCACCGTACCTCCGCAACCTATAAAAAGCGTAGTCAATCTCATCTTCAAAAGATTCCACAAGACATACCGAGCATCTAATTATCACAAATTACTATCATGTCTACAATCAAGGCTGTCAACATCCCAAACATTGCTTGGGATACTGCCGCGAACGTTCATTTCCCACCTAACTTTGACGAGAACAAAAAGTACCCTGCCATCGTGTCTGCTCACCCTATCGGCTCCTGCAAGGAACAGACCTCGGGTAATATCTATGGGAAGTCAATGGCGGACGCAGGCTTCGTGGTCGTCGCCTTTGATGCGTCTTTCCAAGGTGCTTCGGGTGGCGAGCCCCGCTTCATTGAGAACCCCGAATTTCGCGTCTCCGACTTTCGCTTTGTGGTCGACTACATCCAGACGCTGCCCTACGTCGATGCTGAGCACATTGGCGTGCTCGGTATCTGTGGTGGAGGTGGCTACGCGATCAATGCAGCTATGACAGATTACCGCTTCAAGTGTTGCGTTGGCATCACGCCGGTTAATTTTGGCCGCCTCTCCCGTGAAGCTTTCGGCAACTTCGACCCTGCTGCCTCTCTCGAGAAGATGGCAAAACAGCGTACCCTTGAGGCCCAGGGTGCTGAACGCCTCGTCCTCAATCTACTCCCTTCAACCGTCGAGGAGGCCAAGAAATCGACTACGGACATCGACGTCATCGAGGCGACCGAATATTACAAGACTCGGCGTGGCCAGGAGCCTAACGGCTGCACTAGCGGTCTGTTTTCGTTCAATAGTGCCGCCCTCGGGTGGGATGCCTTCAACCACGCGGAGGTGCTCATGACAAGGCCTCTCATGGCGGTCGTAGGTGACAAGCCCGGGGGCTTTGGCGCCTACCGCGACGCTCAGGAGATTCATGGTCGGGCAGGCTCTCAGGAGAAGCATATCGTTGTTCTACCTGGAATTTCACACTATATGCTCTACGACAAGCCCGAGGCGGTTAAACCCGCGCTCGACCAGGTTCTTCCTTTCCTTAAGAAGCACCTTGGCGAGCGAGGTAGATACAGAAATTCTGTACACAAAGAATGGAATCTGAAGTCTTGTAATAAATGGTTCAAAAAACAATATTATTCATAGAGAATGTTTTCTAGAAAAATATGTAGACACTTCAAGGTTGATCTACTTCGGCCGAAACTTCAGTTCGGATACTTCGGCGGAGATAGATCCCTAATGTTTCACCCGATAATGACCGATCGGATCCTACAGGCCACAGGCCCTTTTTGCAAGCTCAATGAGGAGTTGCTCGCAGAACGGCATAAATAAGTCAGCATCCGCTGGCCCCTATAGTATTCTGGGGAAGCCCCAAGTTAGTTTCCCAAGAATCAGCTTCTGTACACTTTACAATACTATTGTTCACAGGCAACTCACTCTTACCTAGTCCACAGGCTTTAACGTATTTCCCCACCGAGCTGGCCGGACCCCCGAGCTGGCCACCCCACCAAACATGCCACCATTAAATTGCAAAAATTTACACCACAACGCCATATAATTGAAATTGAAGCTATTCAGACCTCCCTGGGCACCTATTTCTCTTATGTCCAGGCGTTTTACAAAGACTGCATCGCTGTGGCCTCCTCTTATTGGCCTGATTCGGCGTCGGGGATGAAGCGCTATCACCACCTGCGCCTACTTCATCGGCTATTCCTAGACCAGATACCACCTCCATAGCCTCCAAAACTGATATGCTACCTTCATGAGCTATTCGCTTCCTTGTACGCTTCCTTTTTTGGGTGGTTCTCGCATTAGCGGCGCGTAATTCCTGGTTTTCCTGGCGTAAAATGGCCGCGCCGTGTATAGCTAAATGGGCGCCTTTCACGATCTGCTTGAACGCTTTATCCGCGCGCGACGGGCTCTCTTGTTGCAATTTCTTAATAGAAGAAGCCTGCCGGCGAACGTCCTTCACTGTACGCGGCGTCTTTGGCGTGAAATTGAGGCTCGAATCGCTGCCACGGCTTGGAGGGAGGGGGGGGGTATGAAGTCGGATATCAAGCTTTGAAACCACGCGTATTGGGTCGAAAGGCACTAAACTAGCAGCTGCGAAGCTATTCACAATGGTTTGCGATTTAAATGCTACCTTTCTAGCCTGAGGATAGGCTGTAAGGAAGTCGCATTTATCGATTCGACTTATGCCAAGCTTCACCTGCGAATCCACGAGGTCGGAATATGCCCCTTTTAACACCCCAAAATAGCCGATATCGAGAGGTTGTAAAAGATGAGATGAATGCGAAGGCATACAAATTGGTATAATATCATTTTGAGAGCATATTGTATCGAATTCAGCTGAAAGGTGGCTGCCATGGCCGTCGAGGATAAGAAGCCTATACCGACCCTTTTTTCGGCTAGTAGTCGATGGAATGAATGTTTTTTGAAGCCATTCGAGACCAATAGCATCACTTGTCCACCCGTTATCACTAACTGTGAATCGCCAATCGGTAGGTAATTGCGTATCCTTGAACCATGCAGCCATAAAGACCTTGCCTTTGAAAATGACGCATGGCGGCAACACCCACCCCGTTGCATTTATTGCCTCAATTGTAGTGACCCATTCGCGATTTCCAGGTTGTAAGATAGCTCTCCGACCGGTGCTTCTTCGCGTTATAACCTTCGCAGTAGCCGTAAGACCAAGAGCGAAGCCAGTCTCGTCGAAATTGTAGATATCTTCATCCGCAATCCCATACTTCTCAATCGTAGACTTCACGAAGTTAAACCACGTTCGAATTGTGCCTTTATCCTCGCATAATGCTCGTCGGTAGTCATACGATCGTGAGAATCGAGTAGAGAGGTCAGGGTATCTTTGAACGAATTTTTTTACCCAATTTTTGCCGACCGTAGTAGGGGGGTCAGAACCACGCGTTCGAAGTAGTATATTGGCTGCATCTCGTACAGTTTTAGGCCGGGGGGCTGCTCCGCGATCATCTAGTGAGATAATCCATTCATAAAGCGATTGCTCTTCAAAAGCAGTCAATTTTTGACAGTTTGCGCGTGTTTCGTCGCGGTAGGTGATGCCATTCAGACGCGTCGTGAGCGTACTGCGGGGGACGTTAAAAACCTCCGCAGCTTTGCGTAAAGAGCTAAATTCCTGCTTCTTAATAGCCTGGATAGCTAATAAGAGTCTACCCTCTTGCTCTACGCGTTTTTGAGAATTTTGAGAGCGAATTGGTGGCATGGTAGGTGGTTGAAAAAGGTGAGTCTAATTACATGCGGAATTTTTGGTTGGGTGGCCAGCTCGGGGGTCCGGCCAGCTCGGTGGGGAAATACGTTATTTTAGAAACACTAGATTACCTCCATATTTTACATCGATCCTACTTAACCGACCTAGACCCCTAACCTTCGACTACCAACTCCTCTATTCTTTAGATTGTAAGATAGCTTTGATCCGGGATATTGGCTAGAACAATTAAATCAGATATAGCCTTCTCTTATATTTGAATAGATCCTAACGGGATGTGAGAAAGCAGTTCGTTTAGTTAAGCATCGAAGCATCCATATGGAGAATTATGTGACTGTGTAACATTATGGTAGCGTTGAAGCTAGCGTAGGAACTAGATACTCAAAATCACTAGGAGGGAAGACCACGACATTTGATTTAAACGTCACGCTGAACCGTGGTTTCGCCGTCACCTCCGTTTACACGATATCGGATGTTGGATGGATGAAGTTTCCACTTACGGCATTATGAGCCAAAAGAGAAGTGTGGGATTTTTAGACTTACTCCATATCTACTTCGCAACTCTCACGTCCCTTTTTCCACGCTTATATCCTTGTATGCCCAATGAGACAATTTTGCTACTGATTCAGGTCACCGAGCTCCGCCACCCTCATTGTCTCTGGCGCGACTCGTCAAGTCTCTGCAATCCCTCGAACGCAATCTGCGCTGCGTTCGCTTCCCTAGCCCCGTTTTCCCTTAGATACAACCATTACACACATTACTATCGTATATACTCGGGGCCCAGGGCGACCAATTGAAACCATGCGATCCTAATAGTATCGTAACTGCTGCTCTAGGCTGTCACGTGAAAATGCTGTTCCTGAAGAAAGTATTCTCAGCACTCCTTCAACTAATTCACGGTGGAATAGATTTTCTGTATTGACTTTTGTGCCTCGCTAACTAGGCTCTATTTAGCTGGCATAAATATCTTCCTTCGTAAACTGACAAGTCAAAAGTAAATCGCTATACTACGTGCATTTACCTGATGCGAGAATTCGATACAAGAGGTCTTTAGCATATGCTGCTGCTGCTATTGCTACATATCCCTACCAATCTTTGTTCTTGTGGGAATAAGAGCGATATATTTATGGATCCAGTGTTATTGTTTCAGACCCGGACACCGAAGAGTCACCAGAGCAAGAAATCCAATCAACCGCGCAGGTGAATGTTAAACAGCGTGATTTTAGTGCCTTCAACGGAAAGTTTCCGGCCAGGATCTCTCCGAGCATTTTTGCGGACTCGAAAATTTCATAAATCTCGGATAAAAAAATTTCCAAGGCTTCACTGCTTCAGAAAGTGAAACCGTGCGTGGCGGCCAGGGGAGCGGTCTATTTCACGAACACCGGGTGTCACAGCCGTCTAGAGATGAGCGAAAATAATGATACAATAACGACTACAACGGAACCAAGTCAATACAGATAGGGATAGCGCTGGAGCTCGCCTCCTTATTAAGGAAAGGCCCGACGCATATCTTGTTACGGTTTCTTTCATTTACGAGCTATTAGGGAAGGTAAGCCCATTTCAACGCAAGCCAATTTCCCCAAATAACCAGTCCAACGAGTTCAGCGACAGTATTCTTCCAACACCTTCACTTGGATGACATTCAGACCCCGATCAGTCTGTCCATTGAAGTTGTCACGAGTAATTTCAACATTCCTCTCAGTTGTTTCATGCAAAGCAAACTCAAAGCGACGTAATAGAGATCCTAAAACGAGGTGTATCCATGCCCAAGCCATGCTAAAGACTGTCAGCAGCGAATCATCTTCTGCTCAACTAGATATTTTCTTACTTTTGACCCAGACATCCCATCGTGCCTTTAGACCCTGGAACAAGATATTTCTCTAGCTCTCGCAACCTCTCTCGGGGCAATAACCATCGTTCTGGTTCAAAGGCATAGGGCTCTGGGAAAATTTCCGGATCTCTCAGGATGAAGTAAGTGGACATACTCACGATTGTCTGCAACTCGTTAACATCATTTCCATATTGCAGGACATACATCGGGCATTCATACTCCAGCTGGAATCTGCCACTGCTGATATTGGAGGATTTCATCTGGGGCCGAGCGGGGCAGTCGTGTTGTGACGATGGCAGAAAGTCGTAGACATTCTCTGACGACCGCGCTCTAGATACAAAGTTGAGTTAGGAATAGCAATTAAAGATAGTGTCCTCTAGCCAACTCACCAAATATGGTAATCGCTCCAACTCCTCCAGTGTGGGGGTAGTGTTAATATCTGGAATACCCGAGAAAAGCTCTTCCTTGAGCTTCTGGTACACTTTGGGGTTGTTCAGTATATGAAACATGGTAATAGCAAGTGCTTGCGCGGGAAGATCGGTGCCAGCCACCATAAGGAATATTGCATCATCTTGTAATCGTAACAAGTCCTTTTCACTTTCGGGCACCTCCGGATCAGCCAGAATTGTGGGATAGATAGCTTTTTCCAAAGAGTCATTCTTGTATTCTCTCCCAGCTTCTCTCTGTCGCTGATGAGTCACTACGGCGCTGACTCGGCGCTTCACATCCTAGAAGCATTATAGGAACTGTAAGCTCCCGCTATTACCAGGAATATAACAAGAAAAAGGTTGACTTACCTGCTCTAGTTCATAGACAAATCGGAAAGGGGGAACAACCCAAGATGTTAGCACGGGAAAGGCATGTGCCAGATACGACGACACAGGAAAGTGTCTTGTCAAGCGAGTGAGATCAAACATCGCTGTTACTCCAAGTTTCCAGGTATCTGACAATTGAGATTCCTCCAGATAATGGGATCCCATCCCTCGCCCAAACGCGTGTTGGGAGAGAAGGTCACTCGTAAAACAGTGAAAGGCGGCATGGAGTTCCAGAGGCCGATTATTTCTGACGGCAGCAGAGAAGTGTTTGCACAAACTTCCAATCTTAGCACTGATTACTGGCTCGAGTTCCAGGACCGCACTCCTTTTGAAAAACTGCCCTAAGACCTTTCTTCGGGCCTTATGGAACTCGAATCCGCTGGTGGAAAAGATCGACCCAGGGAACGATATGAAACTGAACCAGGGGTCTTTCGTTCGATGTCTTGTGGGACCCGCATAGACAGTATTGTAGTAGTCAGGATCTTTGATATGGATCTCCCACGGTGTAATTCTCACCACAGGCCCGTAGTGCTGATGCAAAGTCTCGATATGCCAGCTGAATGTTCCGCCTTTGAGAATCTGAAAATATGTCTCATAGAGCCGAGTTGCAGCCGCAAGGCGAGGCCCTGGAAACCTTGCCAGGGGACTCAGGACAAGTCGGTAGAAAACAAGGCAGCTGATATAAGAGAATATAAATAACAATACGCCATATGCGCAGGCCTTGCAAGGAGCATCTCTCATCGCCGAATCCACAATTGGAAAGCGATATGAGTTATTGGACGTCCACATTGCGGCCAAATTTCGCGTGAAGGAGCTTTCCCGGGTTATGGATGAATGGCTGAGATACTTTGTGGACAGAAAACCTGGCCCTTCCCTTGAGTGGGTCTTACTCAGAAATACTATATCTCTAGTTGCACAGTTGGACAGCAAAGAGCTAGGGCCACGCCCTGGACCGCCTTGTAGTGATAGTTCGTGTGACATGTTATAAATTTCTGGAGATGATCTGCCTTGGTGCTTGCCGTCACTCAGCTGATATGTGACATCAGATGCGGAGAAGTAGAAATGTTTGTTTCCAGCTGAGCTGTTGTTTTAAAAAGGGCAAAATTCGCGAGAAAAAGCAACGGAGAATTGAAGTTAAATTCGGTTTTGTGCTTCCTATTGGTTCGGATGTCTCTTCAGCTGCTGTATGTCGTTGATCTTATTCATAGTGTGAATATGTAAATTGGAATAACTTCTGGTACATCAGATAGCTGATAGAAGAGTGCAAATCACATCAATTTAATTACCCGCCCTCGAACAATCTGTGGGTCGATCGATGGATCTCAGCTGAGCGTTGTGGAACACAAGGTTGAATCAATCAAGGATTTTCTTGATGTGACACATGGCCGGCTGAGTCTGCAGCTCAGCAGGACAGCGAAGCCTCTTCAACCTGTCATGCAGATATCTATTGAAACGCTTATGCACTGTAGCAAAGGTCGAATCACTTTATACAAAAAGCAAACCTTATCTTTCTTGGCATTCACCCCGCCCTTAGCGCATTGTATTGTTCTGTCATTTTCCTAGTTCGTCGACCGTCAGCTCTCACCGGCCTTTAATCAATATGAATTGTTTTAACTTAAACAATAAAAATGTATATAAAAGGTGGTGTAAACAGGAAACACTTTTTTTAGCACCTTTTCTATAACCCTCCAACGATTGTTTTAAAATCACCTGAAGTTCATATAGGATTGAGGTAATACACTTTTATTACCACTAGTAATTAAGGCACCATAGATCTTTGCTTTTGCTCTGACCAGGCTGTGTAGATCGCAACTTAGTCTAGCCACTACCACTGGAGATCGGCACTATACTGCAGATAAACTATACTAATTTACCCATGAATTATCTTTCCTGTTTTGTTAATCAAGAGTCGATAACAAGTGTCTACGAAGGCTCCCGCTCTATAAAGTCTTATAATCCAGCATCGAGATCACCTACCCCGTCGAGGTTCCTGCTCTCCAGCTACTCTACTATCATGGATCTTTTCACAGCCCACCCTGCGATTAAGCTCGCCTTTCCACCACTTGACCTTTTTAGGCTCCCTCCAAGTCAGCCTCATAAGCCGGCTACACGTCTCCCTCTTCCACCTACGGGTACTTCCGCGGCAAGGTTTTTTCAACCATTTATGATCAATCCTGGAATTTTTCATCTCTCTCTCGATCTCAAGCTCGTTCTCTCTTTCGCGGCGGTTTATACTGCCACGGTTATATTTTTGAATCACTTCAATGCTACCCGACAGCATAAACCATGGGCTTTTAGCAAAACCTTCATATTCAAGGCTCTAGTAGTAACGCATAACGCTTTCCTGGCGTTATACTCTGCATGGACTTTGTGTGGAATGTTCTACTTGATATATACCCATTGGCCTTCGGCAGCAGCAAAGGAAGGACCCAATTACTATGCTCATATTGCGGAATTATGTTGTGAAATGGAGTCGAGTACATTCGTCGGTAAGCTTTGATCATGAACTAGGATCTCATGTGACAATTACTCGTCTGACCGCTTATACCATTCTTGTAGTTTTGAAAAGCCCAACAAGTGTCTGGGAAGCAGGCGCCGGTTATCTAGGCTGGCTTTTCTATATGAGCAAGTTCTACGAGGTTGTGGACACACTGATAATTCTCGCCCGTGGGAAAAAGAGCTCAACTTTGCAAACGTATCATCACGCCGGTGTGATTGTTTGTGGATGGGCAGTGTTAAGATATGAGTCCCCGCTGGGACTTGTTGCGGTGCTATTGAATGGTGGAATCCATACTTTGATGGTAAATCGGCCCACATCTTGTCTGCGACGATATACTATGCTAACAATTAATTGTCAATATTCCAGTATTCATACTTCACTATCCAAACCCTCGGCATTTCTGTCTCTATGGGTGTCAAGCGCACTCTAACTAGCCTTCAAATCGCCCAGTTCTTAGTGGGACTGGCCTGGGCCCACTGCTATCTCTTCGTGAGATACAAGGCCTCTATAGAGGTGGCAGAAAACACTTTCAACTACGACTCGGCGCCAACGTTGCACTTGCCTATAAGCCATAATCACTCTTCACCCGCGACCTCGTACGTAAAGGCCAGGAAAGTGGCCAGCGATGGTGCAGTTACATGCTTGAGTGACAGTGGAGAGGTTTTCTGTCTTATTGTGGGAAGCATTTATCTCGTCCCGTTGATAATTCTTTTTGTGCAATTTTTCACGAAATCTTACAAGCCGAAGAAGACGGAAACGATGCCTTTGAAACAACAGAGCCCTGCCGCTAAGGAAAGTCATTTTCTAGCTCCTACCAGCAAAAACCCAGGTCGCGGTACTCAAAACTCGCTGAACTTGAAAAATACAACCTATCTTGTCGGAGTTCCTTTGGTGGCTTTGATTAGTCTTCTCTGGGTTCCTCTTCGTATAGAGACCGTTTGTTTTGCCATCGGCTATGCCATCCTACGAGCTATTGTCATTACGGCTGGTGAGTTTCTCTAGCAATCATTTATCTCCCGCTATACTCCAGCAAATTCTAAAGAAATACATCAACAGGTTATCATCGCCTCTGGGCACACAGAGCTTATACTGCTAGCCCACTCTTGAAATTGATTTTTGCGGTTATCGGCGCTGGCGCGGGACAAGACCCTATCAAAAAATGGTGTCGCGACCACCGGGCCCATCATCGCTATGTTGATACCGATGAAGATCCGTACAGTGTAAAAAGTGGATTCTTCCACGCGCACATGGGATGGCTCTTGTTTGAAAAACCATATTCCGCACATGACGCCTCGACTACACGCCACGTGGATATTAGTGACCTCAAATCCGACCCTATTGTGGAATGGCAGCGCCGATACTATTTCCCCCTGGCATTCCTCATGGGCTACATCTTCCCCACGGTCGTCTGTGGCCTATGCTTTGATGACTACTCTGGCGGGTTCATTGTGGCAGGCTGCTTGGGCACAGCTGGAGAACTACAGGGCACATTTTGTGTGAATTCTGTCGCGCACTATTTTGGGGATCAGCCTTACGGAATCGGGAAATCTCCCCGAGATCACCCTTTGACTGGTCTCCTCACCCTTGGGGAGGGATATCATAATTTTCATCATGAATTCCCGATAGATTATCGGAACGGGGTTCGATGGTATGACTTTGACCCGACCAAGTGGTTGATCTGGACGTGTTATAAGATTGGGCTTGCCTCTAATCTGAGACGTTTCCCGCAAAACGAGATTCAGAAGGGGAGGCTACAGCGAAGACAGGAGAAATTGGGGAAGGAGTGTGAGATGGTGGACTGGGGTGTGCCACTGGCGGATCTTCCAGTTATGGAGTGGGAAGAGTTCCAACAACAGGCGAGGACGGGATGCAATATCATAGTTATCAGAGGGGTTGTCCATGATGTTTCGAGCTTTGTGACAGAGCACCCGGGAGGTACAGCTATGATCACAGGGGCAATAGGGAAAGATGCAACCAAGATGTTTGAGGGAGGGGTATATGGTCATTCGGGGGCGGCCTTCAACCTTTTGGATACGATGCGGATAGCTGTGATTAAATAGACCCATTTAGGGTAATTACTGATAGGTGTGGAAATTGATTCCAGTTGAATATATGACCTAACTACTGACTCGTGTGCGCTGATATTAATAGTACTGAGAATACCTGGAAGAGGGTAAAGATGATTTAGACAGCATCAACCAGGTTCAATTGCACACCTATCTTAAATCGAAATCCGCCACATGGGCGTAGTAATAGGCCCTTCCTTTGCTGCTGCCAAAGGCTAATAGCTTTATCAAGTAAAACATTCCACACAAAGTCCATGCAGAGTATAACGCTAGGAAGGCGTTATGCGTTACTACTAGAGCCATGAATATCAAGGCTTTGCTAAAAGCCCATGGTCTATGCTGTTATCAATAACAGAATCGTGGTAGTATATACCGCTACGATAGTGAGAAGGAGCTTAAGGTCGAGAGAAAGATAGAAAATTTTAGGATTGATCATAAATAGTGTAGTGGTGGAAGCACCTCCTGCAGTAGAGTAGCGGTCTACGCGGCAAAATGTTAGGGACTACCAGCTCATTTTCGTCTTACAAGATGACAATCATCTAGGCACCACAATATGACTACACTTTCTTCAGATTCTTGTTTTCATAGTATATTTATAAGCTCCGCACGATCGTCCTCCTCAGAGGCCACTCTCCACGTCTCCGCCGATCAGTGGAGTAGTTGATTACATGTTCTCCATTGATATCGACCCGTCTGCTATGCACTGCCATCGTGCATCCCCATTTCAATAGTTAGAAAAACGTTGCCGCGGAAGTATCCGTGGGGAGAAGAGGGAGACGTGGGGCCGGCTTATGAGGTTGGTCTAGAGGCCTGATAAAGTGAGCTAGATCACGGGGTGAGTTTGAAAAAATCCATAATAACAGAGTCGCTGGAGAGTAGAATCCTTCACGGGGTAGGTGGCCTCGATGCTGTATCCTTCGTAGAACCTTATCCTTATTATCGACTCTTAGCCAACAGAAGAGGGGACGTCTCAGCTAGCCATAGATACGCCAAGAAAAACTTTAACTGAGGTGATAATGAACCTTAAGTTGCATATGGCTTCAGCTGAGATTCGTCGATCGACCCACAGATTGATCGAGGGCGGGTAATAAGTTGAATTTTTGCATATCTGCAACCTGGCAGGTACAATCAACAAATCTTTTCGTCTTTCAGAGTTTATGTAAGCATTCAAACATTCTCACATTTTCGTCTGATTTCTGCATTTTTCTTAAAACCAACAACTTTGTGTTTCGTACCTCTCTTTTGCCGAACCACTTATGACGCCACTATTAAGATGGATATACGTTAGATTTCAGGTCGGCCATCCTCTCCGACTTCATCTTATCCGTCCTTCCCAAAGCCGGCGCTAGTCAATAGAAACAAGGATCGCTCTGAGAAAATATGGTATAAGCGTCTGACGGAAAATTCAGTCGCGGTGACAGTAAATGCATCCGCGTAGGCAAACAAATGTGCATGCGTAACCGAAGCTCTGTTTGTATGACTGCAGATCAGGGCCCGTGAGCGACGGGTTTATCATCAAAAGCAAAATGTCCAAGTGGCGGTCTGTGGAGTGTCAAGGCTATGCTCGCATATGATATCATACTAGCTGAGCATGCACTTATGTTTCCACTCTCTTTTCCCCTCATGTAGCATGAGCACCCCCAGTGTCGAGCTAGCCTTCCTTGCCGAACATTTGTATACCGTATATTGGGAAAGCAAAGGTATGAGACCTAGAACCCAGACGACACTATGAAAGAATATCAAGCATATTTCTACGCTTTCTCTCTTTGCATTTTGTTTTATATCGGCACAGTACTCTTGTACAGATTGGTACTGAGCCCCTTGGCGAAATTCCCTGGCCCTCGCCTGGCAGCCGCCACGCACCTCTACGAAACCTACTTCCAGATCATCAAAGGCGGTACGTTCACCTGGCATATTAATGACCTTCACAATCAATATGGACCTGTGGTCCGAATATCTCCGTGGGAGATACATATTAAAGACCCCGACTACTATAACACCGTCTACGCTGGTCCGGGAAAGCGCCGCAACAAAGATCCTTTGTTTAGCTGCGTTAGATATCCCAAGTCAATCTTCTCACTTAACTCTTACAAATCTCATCGACCCTGGAGAAGGCTTTTAGGCCATTTCTTGGAGAAGGGCGCTATCCTCGAACTTGAACCGGTGGTAAGGGCAAATACACTATCACTGTGTAAGCACTTTGCGGCGGCGGTCAAAAGCAACGAGGCTTTGGAATTATATACGGCTTTTCACTGCTACACTAGTGATACCCTCTCTCAACATGCTTTCGGGCACGACCTTGGCTTCCACTACTTAGATGAACCGCAACTAGCCAATAACTGGAAGACCAGGATGAATTCGACGTTTCAATTCAGTCGGCTATTCCGACATTTATACTTGGAAAGTGACATAGCACACTTGATTCCACGTTCGGTTTCGTTAGCGGTTCCCCAGTATGCGCCTGTTTATTCAATAGAACAGGTACGTCACCGCAGCCCTCGTCTGATTTTCATGGACATTTGGAGGGTAACATCATAATAACGGATCGACTAGGATGTGAAACTTCGAGTCCAACAGATGATAGATGAGTATGATCAATGGGAGGTTGAGGCGCAATCGACTAGTCACGCAGCAGAACGGCCGTTCTTGAAGACTTCAAATGCAATCTATCCGGCAATCCTGGCTAACCCAGACGTGCCTCTGCTCGAAAAGAGTCATTCTCTGTTAGAGGATGATGCTATATTTCTCATGCTTGCGGGTACAGATGCCCCGTCGCAAACCATTGCCATGACCATGTTCCACATACTCGACAACCCTACAATATATCAGAGACTCAAGGAGGAGCTTTTCGCTGCTATTCCAGATGTGACTGCCACTCCAAATATGGATCGATTGGAGCAAATTCCTTATTTGGTATGTGGCGACGTACTACCTTATTTTCCAGGTCACATTGGACTAACATTAGTATAGACCGCAACAATCAGAGAGGGTCTTCGCCTCGCCTCTGTCGTGACAACTCGGCTGCCTCGATCGGCACTAGATGAGGTCCTGCGATATCGACAGTGGTATATCCCTGCTGGAGTATGTAGACTGCTTGATCTTCTCAATTCACACACGCTAATCTTTACAGACGTTTATCTCAACGTCTACATACTTTATTTTAAGGGACCCAGAGATCTTCCGTGAGCCTGACAAATTTCTACCGGAGCGGTGGCTACTAAAGCCGGAGGAATTGCGGAATCTTGAGAAATACCTCGTTCCGGCATTAAAAGGAACATTGGGTTGTCTAGGACAACAGTACGTTTCCCCAATGGCTGTGAGGCGTGAACTATAACTGACATGCTGAAGCATGAATTGGTCATGGATGCACCATCTCATAAGTGCTCTTGTGCGTCGATTCGATATGGCTTTGCATGAAATACCGGAGAGAAATGTAAAGAAGGTTCGAGACGCCTTTATTGGACAAACTGAACCACGGATAAATGTCGTCCAAGTGAAGGTTCTGGAGGAGTATTTTCATTAGCAATCATTCAACACTAGAGCAAATAGCTGTTTGGAACGAATTTAAGGGTCACATTTCGGTCAATAAATGTATAGCTTATGGAATTCCGGTCTTTGGTTGACAAGAAACTCCATCTTAAATGTTGCATGAATGTACACTTAATCGGCTACAAATTTTGGCCACCAATAATCCAATTGGTTGAGATAAAGAAACCTCATATTGCAAAGTAGTAAATTATTGTAAGAATCGAAAAGGGGGCCCAGGCCATGATTTTCGCGTTACTGTAATGAGCGCGATCTTACCGTTTCGTTCTTGTATCAGCACTTTGCGAACGATGAATCCAGCTCGCCAAATGTTGCTATTATCAGCAATGTCCAGCGTCAGCTCGACTCTGAACCCGTATTTTGTAATCCGTGGATACTTATGCCTCTGCCGCATTATCCTGACCCGTCCGAAGCCGCTAGAGGGACAAGTTCGCTGGTTGGAGGGGCTGTTCATATTCGTCACGCGATGAATTGGCCCGGGATCAGAGTGTGTCAGCCAAATTATTGATCAAAATGCATCTGCGAATGGCTAGCCTTTGCTTCCCTGGCATTTTTGCCTTGCTTTTATTAGTCTCGCGGCTCCCGTTGTAGTCCAAAATACGGACACTATCGTCGGCGAACTGAGCGTCCGCTTCGGCTGGCGAGGGGCTTCCCGCCAAAATTTGCTCTGATCCCTTAATGGTCTTCGGAGGAATAGCACTATTATAGGCCCAGTGATGCTTTGTTGTTTACTTGATCTTTGTAATGCTTCGCCGGAATTTCTCAACGATTTTGGGTGGTGCATTCAGCTCCGAACTAGTCGGAGGTGGGGGTGTATTACCGCGACGAATCGCGAAACCAGGCATTAAGTGAACGCATTGAAAAGCAATGATTGTCAGCCCATCCATTAGGCGTAGGGTCTTCCAATAATCACCAAAAGCCATGGTTTCATTAGCCAACCATTAGCTGCCGAATCATCTCGCAGATTGGCGGAGCATTAGCCTAGTTCAAGGTATCTATCCAATGCATTAGTTCTTGCGCTTGCTCTGGTTCTATTGCTTTGTTTGGAACGATACGGTTCTTACGAGATTTGCGATCGTGAACCCCACCCTTAAAGAATTCGTGGAGTATATTGAATTCCTGCGCGGATCGAGCAATTTTCGGTTTATCACTTGCATGGTAAACTTCCCATGTAATGATAATGCGATCTTCTAAAACTCGAAAAAGTCGAGGCATAATTAGGGTGGCGGGGAAAGGTCGATCATTTGACTAGTCTGATTATTAGACGACCCGTGCGACCCAACACCTGAAGGGTGGTGGGTCCTGCGTTCGGTCAAGTAAATAGACAGAAGAGAAACTAGAGGTTTGCTTGTATCTATCGGTCCACCGATTTCACACCATTATCAGACCTTCACAATGAATTCGAAATCCAACCCGAGCTACAGTATCGGTTCGGACAGAAATTCGCTTACGTTTGGCACCAAGTCGCAGAGCGAGAAACAGATTAAACTGGAAGCAGAGCATGACGCCGTTGACCGTGTCAGGTCCGCCCAGGTAAGATTTCAAAAATATTGGAGGAGGTTTTGGAGTTGCTATCTCCTGGGGATTGTCATATTCATTGCAATATTTCTTCCAGTTTTGTAAGTTTGTACTAGCTGGCTGCAATTTCTTCGTCTTACTCACCTCACTTGTCGCTTAGTTCCCTTTCTACCTTTGGCACCAAGTCACAGAGCGAGAAACAGATTAAACTGGAAGCAGACCATGACGCTGTTGGCCGTGTCAGGTCCGCCCATGCAAAATTCGAAAAGCATTGCAGGAGGTTTTGGTGTTGCTATCTCGTAGGGATAGTTATATTCCTTGCAATCTTTCTTCCAGTTTTGTAAGTCTGTAATAGTTCGTTGCAATTTCTTCGTCGTACTCACCTCGCTTGTCTCTCAGTTTCCTTGCTATCATTCCCGCGATAGCCCAGAGAATTGTCGACAATACCGCTCTCCATGTGTACTCTGCCCAAATCTTGAATCCTAATGCAGACCAATTCACCTTCATCCTTCACACTTCCCTAGATGTTCCTCGAGGGCTGCGAATACGAACTGATCCATTAAACCTGAGCTTCTTTAACCGCGACGTCACACCCATGGAGCCATACTTAACTGTCGCTCTGCCAGCATACAGTCTCAAAGGAAAAACCGACTTGAGTATTACCAGAAATGTTACCGATATTCTCAATATGAAACAGTTTGTCAATACATTGGCAAGTGCGGTTTATAACAAAAGTTTCACTATATCTGCGAAAGGCTCTACTATTGGTCATTTCGGTGCCCTAAAGACCCTATTAACTGTCGAAAAAGATATTGAGCTAAAGGGTAAGCTTATAATAAAGTTTGTGCTGTTTTGATTATTTACACCTGGATTTAACTAGGACTGGATAAGCTGAGTGGCTTTTCTATCGACTCCGCACGGCTGGTAATCCCAAAAGAAGCGGATGGGACGAATTTGGTGGGCGTTGTGATGATTCCTAACTATTCAATCTTCACCTTCGCTCTGGTACGATTTTTTAGAAGTCTATATTCTGGATGTTGTCGCTAATTTTCAAATCTAAAGGGCAAAGTGACACTTAATTTACAATGTTCAGATATGGTTATTGGACAAGCCACCATCGAAAATGTTGTGCTGAAACCAGGAAACAATTCAGTATCCCTGCGTGGTCAGCTAGATATGGATACTGTGATTGATAATCTTCCGGCCATTCTGTCCACGCCAAAGTCCGCTTTGATGGACGGTGGGCTCGAGCTTACTGCTTCTGTGAACTCAACAATCTACGATGGGAAGCACATTGCATATTATGAGAAGCTATTGAATAATCTAACTATCACCACAAGAGTTCCAATCTTGATGATACTGCTGGACACGGTGCGTGGGCTGATAGATACCACAGGGTCGGGGGATGGCAATGGGATAAACATTACAGCTATTATGGGTGATATGTCAATCTTCATGGAGACAACACTCGCTGCGAGGTCGCTTAAGTCTTTCATGGATGGTTGTGACCCAGTCATAAGTACGAATTTGGGAAATTAAGTTTCCGCTTGCCATAACTTCAGATAATTAATAACAAGACACCAAGTGGATGCGTTGTTGTTTTTGTTCAACAAATGCGAGCATATCTTGTACGATATAGTAACGCCACTCGTGCACCGAACTTATTCTATATCACGGTGATCACACATGATACCGGAGGCTAGACAGGTGACAATATGCTCCCAGAACCAGGTGCCGCTTCCGAAGGTATCTCGCTATTTGTAATCACTCGCATTTTATTCATCCTTTGAATCTTCCTCAGAGAAGCCTTTCCCACAACCATGGGCTTTTCTCTGGTCCTCCGATCAAGTTCTCGGAATTAGTATTTATTCTCCTGAAGAGGTATCTAACCACAGCCTTGCCGCTGATCCATATATCGTCATTGACCGGGATGTATGACTTGTCACGATTTATACATCAGCACCTCGGTGGGGATAAAATACCGTTTAAATCTGAAGTCGCATTGATGTATGTTTCAGCATATCGGATGTTGGATGTATTAAGATTTCACTTAGGGCATTATGAGTCATAACAGAGTGTGGGAATTTTAGATCTACTCCATATCTACTTCGCAATTCTCACGTCCGTTTTTCCACACCTCTAGGAATATATGCCCAATGAGACAATTTAGCTATTGATTTGGGTCACCGAGCTCCGCTACCCCCGTTGTTCCTGTCGCTTCGGAAGACGACTGCTATAGAAGACGAGTAGTTTGTGACCTTCCAGGATATAGATCCCATCATACCATATCCCGAAGCTAGTATATAGTGAAATGGGGATGGCACGATGACAGTTTGACATAGCAGACAGGTCGGTATCAATGGAGACAGCACAACCAACCACTCCCATGTCCAGTACAGACGTAGAGAGCAGTCTCTGTAGGTGGCTATCTCACTAGAAATGAAGCTATATCATGAAAGAAGGATCTGGTGGAAAAACTGTAGTCATATTGATGATGGTAGGATGATGCTGCTCTCTGAGAAAAGACTGCATGCAAGCTTCCTAAGGCATTTGTGATACCTCAGGCCACTAATACGCTACTGTCATGGGTTCCACCACTACAATAGTTATTTTAGCTCTACGTATCTGTCGATAGTGTCTATCGCTATTCCGCAATGTGCGAGAACGCCCTGGTGTACAGAACCAAGGGCTTGACGACGCTCCCAGAGCAGCAATCCATGGTCATTACAGCATTGTTGAAGCTTTCCATTCTTTCGTAACCGCCATTAGCTTGAGTTCTACAGGAAGCGACATTCCTCTCCTAACCGTATTTTGGCGGCGGTTTTGATCATGTAGCACTCCCACAGACATAGAGGTCAACAACAGAGGGTGCCAAAACGGGATGATCTTGTCCCTTGGGTTACTTGAAAGGCTCCAAGGCTCCCTTATCAGTATAACGGAGAAATGAGGATGGAAAATAACGTTAGCCAATCTATCCCCCAAAAAAAGGGTTGCTAAGAAAAATGATGGTAGAGTAGACTCGCTCTGAGAGACCCATTAGCGGTCACTGAAATGTTTCTCTTCAATCATACCACTAAGAATCAAGATAATCAGGCGGCATTAGACTCATCAATTTTCACTAGAATCTATTAAAGGTGATTAAATTAGGACGAATGTTTTCGTACTGTCGGTTACCGATTGCGCTTTAAATGAACTCGAGATGGTTACTCAGTTTTCAATATCATTGTAGATCGCAGTTCAGTACATGATGTCCTCAACTCTCTTGTTGGTGTTAACCCCATATCTCCAAATCTCACGTCCCTAATCCCTATGTTTCCCCGATCCCCATGTCAGATCTTTATATCCCCACAGTCTATGCCCCCAGTCGCTCTGCCCCAATCCATATGTCATCAACCCATACGCTTCTTCACCGCATTACCGAGCCCCAATGACCCCATTCATAGTTATTACGGTGCCTATAGCCCTCGTAATACACATGAGGACAATTTCTATAGGATGCTCCCCTCCCCCGGTATTTGGATCATCAAGATGCTCAGCTTCAAAGCCTCGGCGGAGCACCAGTTTAAGCTGACAGCGCAAAGGATGTGAGACAGATATCCTTTCCATCTCGCCTTTGTTGTTAAGGCCAGGCGGCAAGAAACATGCTCATACTCCTTTGGTACTTTCTTTCCCACCGTAGTCAAGAATGCGCAATGCAGAGAAATAAAGTGAGAACTACGACTTCACATAAAACACCTAGAATTGTCGGACTCATAGATGACGAAGGTTGAGCCCAGGCTTTGTGAATATCCTGTGGCTTCGCACTCCGTCAGAATACGTGATGTGATGCCTGAGGGATCACATCCATGAATTGCTCATCTAATAACAAAGGCAATTTGCACCGCCTAGTTATGGGACCAATGATGCATGGGAGGGAGCAGGATGCCTTTCATTTCGGTGATGCCACTTTCTGATATTGGTGATATGAGGATGCAACATGTTGCCAGCATTTCTCAAGATTTCTCATCATTAATTGCTTTCGGACAAGAGACAAAGCAAGTCAGGCTGTTAAAAAGACCCAAGCCCGATAGAACAATCATTGGTGAGATTTTCTAATTCAAGGCATGCAGTAAAGATGGGAAAATATACACCTTGGCTGGTCGACCTGTACCGACATGGCATGGCATGAACGAACATACGGTGTAGCAGATTCAGTGTAGACCACATTACGCATATCTTGCCGAATCCATGAAAATATAAAACGCACGAGCAATTTGGACTCAAAACGAGTGTAAAATTGAAATAAGCCCCGAATGGAAGAGTACTTTATACTCTTCATCAGGACAACTAATTGTAATACATTGACAGCGTGGACCTTTTCTCCCTACAAGACAATTTCGAAATGATTACAGTCATGGTAATATTTTGCCGGAGTCCCCAACAGAAAGTATCAAACCTTTCTTTAGACAGTGCAAACAACATCACTATTACCGCTCTGCGTGTCCTATTTTGTATTAGTCTCTTCCTCTTCCAAAGTAGACACAAATCCAGAGAGACTTACCACGATCTGGTTGCCGCCACAGCAAAGAGGCCGAGAACGTGTACCGCTACAGGTTCCGCCGGTGAGATTCGCTAGTAAACCAGTATTAGTAGATGTTTCAGATAATCACTCAGAACTGCCTTACGTCTACAGTTCGACCCAACTCCCCTGATGAAAAATATGTTCAGGTTGGTTGCACTAGCACAGCACCAGTTGTGGCTAGGGCCGCCGCCGGGGCAGATTGCTCTCTCTTGAAGGTCTTCAACTGGGGTAGCAATGGATAGGCCAGCAAGAGTAAAAGCGGCAAGGATATTCTTCATAAGCATGTTGAAGTGTTGGATATAGTGGACTGACTTGTGCAGATTGGAGATAGGAAGTATGGGTTAGTTAGAGGGACATCAGAGGAATTTTCAACCTTTAAATAGATAACTGCTTACTCGTTATGAATCATCTAAACCCGGTCTATTTGCATGCCAAGGAACGATTTTGTATAACCGATGCGTCTGGATCATATAGATGAGATCGATGACACAGGGTGAAGTAAGACGATCCGTTACTATCGATTCTGGAGAACTTCGTAAAAAGGTGGCGAAGTAACTAGGCAGGGTTTTCCGGAGGTACATGACTTGGTTGGCCGTACTAACCTTGGAAACCTCGATGCTCTATTCTTAAATTCGATTCGTTCCAAACTAGAACAACCAAAATGGAATGACTGTTGAGCGAACACCAAAAGCTCGCGTATGTCTACACATTCGAAGCCAATATAAATAAAAAATAAAAACGAAGTATTTCTAAAGATCATCAGTGATATGCCACTGGTCTAGTGGCTCATCACTTTAGGAAGTGGAGCTTGCATGCAACCCAAAACTGAGACTCCATCATGCTGCAGATCAAAGCGGATAGCTTATCATAATAGGTAACTACTTATAATTCGGCTCGTCCTAATTCTGCATTATTCGATCCCATTTGGAAAGATTTGGCCAAAAATGGAAGAGAGGCGGGTTTCAAGGTAATATCCGTTTCCGGGGGTTTGACAGTCTAGACAAAGATAAGATCTATGGTAGACCGCCAAGCCAACCCCGCTTGTTCGTGAATGGACGGGTGAAACCGGCGGAGCTTGGCATTATTAGAACTGAAGAGACCACATGATCTGGTCGTGTTCCGGTACGAGCCGAACAAAAGCTATTCACATCAGAAGAAGTGACGGTACAAGGCTGGCTGAAAATTGACAAAGCTTGCGTTTCCCATGGCAACGGGGTGTAAGGAAACCTTAAACTTTAAATTGTAACACTTGTTTGTAGCAAAATTTGCACTCGAATTTATCGAAGATAATAATGACTGCCCCATTGAATGAGCAGAGATGTATACGTAGATTGGCCCTCTTGTTGAAGCTATACTAGTCTGTACTTAAAGAACCAGTACCTCTGGGAATCATTTCTCGTGTTCTTCAATCTAAGAGTCAACTTTGCATCATCAGTTTAAATGAAATTGACACCTACAAACCTACAGAGGCTGTATATGTTAAAAGGCAAAAACCTGTTTTTTTTTCAACATACATTGAATATCCAAGATATTTGATTGTCTATTGCTTAATATTACTAAAAAACACTTCATTATGGACGGAACAAAGAACCTTTGCATTCGATATCAAGGCTCTGATACATACCTATACGGCGACAGTAGGTATAATGACGACCCGTGGGCCTACCGCCAAGCGAAAAGCGCCTAGGCGACTACCTTGGAAATGAGGACGGTAGGGTATCATCTGAGTAACCATTGAAAAGCCCAGATTGACGGTAATTCAGGTTTGGGTTTTTTTAAAAATAGAGCGGGCAGGAATTAACCGTGAGAGCCCGCCAGATAATCTTTGGTCTTGAAGGCCCAAATCACCGTGCTACCCGCCGAGCTCGAAGGAGATTTTCCCAGTAGCTACACGGGAAGGGATGTGAATCTAGACGAACATATCTACAACGATTCGGTGAGCCGAAGTATCGGTCAGTATTCTGCTTTTTCCACAGCTTGCTTTTGTTATGGTGAATGCTAGCAGAATGTAGCAACTGAGGCTCGAATGTATGGCGGGAAAATGGTAGTCGAAATGCCTCTCATTGTATTCAGTTCTTCATATTTAGTTTGCTCATATTTTTCATAATGAAATGATTTCTTGCCGTGGGAACTTCAGATATACGTAAGCTCAGCCTTTATGAAACTAGGATACACAGTAAGTCCTCATTGATACACACTAAGCAAGTAGCACCCAAGAATCTACGAAAGATAACGATTTATAAGCTCAAGTGAAGTTGAGGGCCATGGTGCATTGACAAACACACGCCAGCTTAAGGCAGCTTGAAAATGAAAAGCTCAAGTTGAGCTAATCTCCTGGAAACGAGAAAAGAGACCATGGTTTCCGGACCCAAGGTACACAATGAGCTTCGGTTTTAGCATCTGATAACCACGAGGGATTGACGTCAACACATCACTAAGTAGTTCGTATAAGAGTATGGCTATGACACCTATATCTTCCTGAAGATCTTTACCAAAGCCCGACTATTATACCATGCCTGACTCCCTTCAACTACACCAGCAAGATCACCATGACCTCCCGCAGGGCTATCTTACCTTCGAGGCTGCGACTTCGGAGTTGCGAAAGAAGCTGGGTCGCAAAGTAAAACACCAGAAAGCCCAATATCATCTTATCGGTTTTGCTTTCAATTTGCTTGCAGTTGCGCAAGTAATGATCGGCGCCGCCATCACTGCTTTAGGCCCAACTGGAGGTGAACACATGTTAGCCATCACAATTTTGGGGGCTTTCAACACGTCCATCGCCGGAGTCCTTGCATTGCTCAAAGGAAGAGGCTTCCCGCAGCGATTGAGGAGAAATATGGTTGAACTAGAAAAGGTATTGGACTTCATTCAAGAAAGGGGGGTCTTATTGAGATATGGGGAGAGCGAAGTCCTACATGACGGAGATGGAGATGCGCTTATACGAGAGGCCTTCCAAAGATACATCACAGCGCAGCAGATTATCGAAAGCAACCAGCCAGACACCTATGCCGATGGAACTACACCTCATTCCTCCGTGGATCAAGAGAGTGTTGGCTTTTCAAGCCAAACAGCAGCGACGACTGACTTGCATGGAAAGGGACGTCAATTAGACGAAGAAATGGGTAGTAATAGGGCTAATCTATAAAAGTCATCAACATACATGTGTAACATCCAAGGCTGGGCCACCCAATGATGATAGTCATAGTTAAGGGAGACTGATAGTAGGATATTATCTCGTCTCTGTATCTCTTCTCTTTCATTTTTCTAGTTATGGCCATATATGTAGGGTTGATATATTGTCCAAAATAATCTGGAGACCACGAAATACTATTGGGAAAGACGGGGGTTTTCCTTTTTCGCTTCTAGCAAATTTTGAACTAGTCATTAATTCAAGCTATGTAGAAAGTTATTGATGGCTGAAAGAACCCGAGATCAAGAGAGCCACGGAACTCTAAAATTGTGGATCTACACGTCATTTTATAGAAACAGCATAGCCAGCCGCGGGTGGATGTCACTGCTGTACCAACCATCTAAACCCTAAATTGCAATCTAGGTTGCAGGTGGGTGGTCGTATTCTGCAAACGGCGGAGGCTATAGGATTTAACAAACATCCGTGCAGATCTATATCCAAGGATACGATAACCATAATTTTAAAACCAACCCTATTTTCAACGCCGTAGCTCCTAGGGGGAAAATCAGTCATGAATCGGGTTGTCGGTCTCATAGGGATACATACAGTACTTTGGATGAGGTCCCACCAGTAAGGCGGCTTGCACAAGAAGATAAACACCGTTGTACAAAGCCGCATGCACAATCAATGGATCTTTTGTTGCCATCGGCAGACCTAGGTTAGTTCCGAAGGGGACATAGGACCGATTTTCCAATATACTGGGTATGATGGTATAACATGTGGATACGAGTTCAGACCCAGATACCCCGCGTCCCGAACAATTAGAGCCTTACGGCAATGAATACCGAAGCTGAAATCTAGACTGCTTTTAAAAGGGACAATCTTGGTTCATTTAATATGCGCGCATTAATGTGATGCATTATTGCCACTGGCTAGGTCAGTGTCTGACCTTCATTGGCAAAAACCCCATCAAAGAGGCAGATTCAAGAGTCTAGATGATATTAACCAGCGATTGTAATACGAAATCTCATCATAGATATGTCTACGTCAGAATCGCAAACTGTCCAAGCTCGTATAACATCATATTCATGTGACCCGACCTAGACGCTGAGCTCCTGGTACATTTACTTGCGTTAGCCCCCGGTATTCGCAGTTGCAGTCAGCTCATCCACATAATCTAAGAGACAACCCTTTTAGTCTTGCAAAACTGTTTCTTTGAAACATATTCTATTGCTATATCTTCCTCAGTATGCCGATTCGTGGTTACGGTGTGTGGAAGGCAAAGCCTGTGCACTATGTTGTTGAACATGAGAATGAGGACGAAGTCAGCCCTCATTTATCACTATACTTCGACGATAAAGGAGGTAATTTTTCTGGAAGAAAGTTTCGTTCAACCGGTCGGCACAAAGAAATTTCTGGACTTTTCAGAGCCGCAATCAACATCAAGTCTATAGGCAAAGAATCTCAGCTTGCCTACTGGGTAGATCGCAACTTCAACAACCATCCCATCATCAACAGTCTCACCGACCTACCTTCAGGCTTTCAGTCCCTAGAAGAGCCAAAGCAGGGATACGCTGATATGAGACTGGACTACATCCGGAGCAACTTGTTCAATGTCAATACTGGTCGAATTTTACCCCATGATGAACCAGGTCCCAACAATGATATCATTGATGTTTTGGAACCTGAAGTCAAACAGGCAATCGATCAGAACGCCAACATCTACTTATTTGGTGCACAGTTTGGGGATCAAAAAGGCATTCATGACGTGCACATGAATCAAGGCAATATTGGGCAGTTTCAACATGATGACGGTGTTTTCCAAGATGGTGGCCTTCTGATCAATTACCCAGACTCTGGTCGATGGGTGGGCGTGTTCATCGGGTTCGCATCACAGTCTGCGCACACAGATGATGACTCCGGACATGCCATAGGATCAGAGACTTGGAATGACTATCTTGGCTCAAAAGGACGCCGTACAGATCTGATCGAGAATTCTGCGACGATCGACAAGGCGTTGGTTGATTCAAATGATCCCAGAGTCAGACGCAGATCAGTTACTATCACAAATTCGACTGACCACACAATACCTCTGTCTGCATGGAAGATACAAAATTCAGCTGGCCAATTTCAAGCACTGCCGCGTGATGCGGTTTTGGATGCTATGAAAACGCAAACTTTCGACCTTCCAAATTGCCCTCTTTCGAGCATTGGCGATACCATCACACTGGTGAATGATGAAGGACTGAAAGTTGATGGGGTCAGCTACCACTCTCCACAGGGCGGAATGGAGGGGCGATCGGTTGTTTTTGCTCATTAGGATTGGTATGGCGAAATTTGCTTTATTGTGTCTTTGGCTTTCCCAAAAGTGATATTATCCAAGGTGTAACCGATGCCAAATAAAAAAAAAATCTTTTTCGTTTGAATTGACAGGTCCTATTTCTAGCGTCGTTCCAACGCCAAAACCGTCGGAGATAGTGTAACTGGAATTTGAGTAAGCGGACAGAAGGCCATGATCTCTACAGTTAGAGATCTTGGACCAAGTATTTCAGAAGGCCATGTTCTATTACAGGCGAAGCAAGGTGAATAGGCTAAAACTTTAAAATATAGATTAGTTACATGGCTAGCACTCCTCGTGGGCTTACTCCGTGTAAGAAATAGATAATGTTAAGCCGGCGACATGTCACTATGGCTTCGTAGTCGCTCGCTCCAAGGGTCAAACCTCTATGTTATTAAATTGTTTACTGAAATAAGATAATATGAAATAGCTTTTTTAACTACTATGTAATCCTCAATCCGATAAGCCCTTGGTAATACCTCATAGTTCGATACTAAGATATTGAAACAATTTTCCTTGATGCCCAAGTGTATAACACAATTTGAGACATTCTATGCGGACATGACGTTCCTTTAATTCAATTGTGATTTATATGTGATTGTATTATACTGTCTACTTACTCGTATAACGAAATTCCAAAAATCCACCGGTCGCCTCCTAGGGGTGGAAACATCTAGTGTCTAACCGGGCTGCGGATCGGAGGGGACCCAGCCTGTGGCACCCTTCCTCTTGATTGTGTACTAACTGAAATACGAAGAAAGAGCCTTACAGCTAGTAATTTAGACAACCAATAATAACACTACAGTTCATGTGACCATCAACAGTAGTCTCCTGACTGTCCCGCAGAGTCCAAGTTTGCTACAGTATTCAGATGTATGTACCTCTACTTTGAATGGCTTGACAACTCTTTGCCGTCATCTACCATCAACATGAATTTCTTCGCACGCGCTCGGACAGGTTTCATGTCCTGGATGCATGAAACACCGCTTCCTTCTACAGAAGCATATCCCAAGTTCCAGTCGTGGCACCATTTTGACCCTGTTCAACAGTGGGTCTCTTGGGACCCTACCCGCTTGAACAATACAACCCCCAGGTCAACCAACACAGAGAATATACCGAAACTAGTGCTCCTGACATGGAACATTGATGCAACATCTTCCCAAACCCAAGCACGCGTTACAGAGATTATCACATTCATCACCGACCTAGATCCTAAGGTCGAGGTTATTTTCCTCCAAGAGGTCTCAAAGACAGCTTTGCAGCAACTCTTAGGGGACGCTCGTATCCGTGGGTCTTGGCTCTCAAGCGAATGCGATGATACGGCATGGGGCAAGCAGTCCTTTGCGACGGTCACGCTGGTATCCAAAGCACGCTTTGCGTCAAATGCTGAATCTGGGGAAAATGCCATTCTAGGTCCTATTTGGCGCGTGAAATATCCTAGTCATTTCGATCGAGATGCGTTATGCTGTGATATCTTCGTTCCTTCTCCAACAAAGCCTGAGTCTGAGTCTAAGCTTTCTTCTGCCACACGCATACGGCTTATCAATGTTCATCTGGATTCTCTACCGATTCAGCCGTCCCACAGGCCCCGGCAAATATCCATTATCTCCTCGTTCCTCCGCGCCGCAGGCTACGGTATAGTTGCCGGTGACTTCAATCCAGTTCTCGATGAGGACGCTACCCTTATTGAAAACAGTGGCTTGACGGATGTCTGGACATCTCTTCGTTCCGAAGAACTCGGTTATACATGGGGAGTGGATGGAGAACAACCGTTCCCGCCAAATCGGCTCGACAAAGTTGCTGTTTTAGGTCTTACCCCTTACAGTATCCAAACTTTGCAGCCAGGACGTCTCAGCAACTTAGACTCCAAATCTCAACAGGCTGGGCCATCTGAAGACGTACCCTGGAGCGATCATCATGCTTTGCTTTGCTCTCTCAGCTTGCCGGCAAAGTGAGCAATTTTAACTTGTGCCAATTTGGCAGCCGAACTTCTAGTTATAGGACGAAACCAATATTTAAATCGGTTTACAGGCGGGAGGAAGAGGCGAAATCGACATGACTTGAGATGATTTAACTTGAACTGCCATGGTAACCAATTTGCTTTCAACTTCACAAGTCCATTGTACACTTGTCAACCTTAATCCCTGTATGCCGAATCCAACTTCTGCCACTCTTTCAAGTCCTGGAATCTCTTCAATCATGCTTTGAGTCCCTGGCTCAGGTCCCCTTGGGGGCCTCTCAAGTTGATTCTTTGGCCGCTTTGCACCATCAATTCACGAATGAACATAATGTCAGACATGTCTCCGTATCTCTTAGAACCACTCCGACGAATTCGACTGTTCCAAGTGCTGAACTTCAAGTTAGGAGTTCCGGTGCCGAAAGAAATGACATTTGCATTTGGGGTCCTAGTTTGGTAAGCTGCGCTTGTTCTACCTTGGGCCTCGAAAATGGGCAAAAAAAGAGGGAGAAAACGTGAGGCAAAGTAGAGCGAAAACAATGCATGAAACGGTATACTCGATTCGAGGATCCTGATATGCGAAGACGCTCATTTAAATACATGTCTGTCCTGACCCCATCTGCTGCACCTGCAACATAATCAGAGTCTTGACTTCTGCTCGTACACCTTGCAAGCAGCCTCCAGTCCAGGCATCCATTCAGCAGAAACACTCAGTCTGTCCTTTATTGGCCGATCTGCCCAATCCTTCGCAATCCGCATCTCGTCCTCCCGCCATCTTTGCACCGCCGACCCAATCCACGTCCCAATAGCCGATGCTGTCTCGGCAACCTTTTCTAGTGGCACCTGATGCCCGGAAGTTTCAATACGTTTCTGTTTCACCTGTTCACTCAGCACCCCGCCACTCCCTCCGACCCCAGCACCGGTCCGATGCAAGATTTCAGCACAAATCTCAGGTTTTGATATCGGGCTGCTACCACCAAACACATAAAGAACCGACGGCCGAACGTGATCCAGTAACTTCCATGCAATCACAGGCTCGCTGCGGTAGAAAGGCGAAGTTTTCGAAAGAGGGCCAATCACATCAGCCTGGAACAGGGGTTCATGAGAAGGCCCGACGGTGGAATCTTCTTGCCCAAGAGGCCTGTGACCTCCAAAGTTTGGCCGGACGTACTGCATCACTTCTTGATGCTTGGTGCTTGTTAAGGTGACCGGGCCATCATGGATGACATCTGTGTCACTGTGTGAGCTCTGTGGGTAGAGGGCTGTTGGAAGACTGCGGTATCCATGTAAAGCCCATCGCTCGAGGACGCGATCATCCCATCGCTTGTGCGTCTTTCGCGCCGCTTTAATAGCCGCGGACCTGGATGACCAGGTATCACGTCGCTTAAGCGACAGCTTTGATAATAACGGCCCATATCCGCTGAACGTATCTGGCACAATTACTGGCTCGACTAAAGCCAAAGACGTGAACAGGCGAGGATGCATGAGAGAAAGGAGGACACTACGAACAAGTCAGCAATGAAATCTATAGCCTTGTCATTCGTCCTTACAGTTGACCTGCCCCCATACTATGACCCACGCCGACGATGGGCCGCGGCATTTCATCACGGAATTGGTTAATCATATATAAAAGATCCCGACTGTGATCAAGCCAAGATGCTTTTATGAGTTAGCGATACTGCGACAGCCAATGAGAGAAGCAGACATGCTTACGGTCATTGCCCAGTAGTTCCTCGTTCACCACACCGCTAGCGCCGAGATTTGCGGCATCTGCAATCCAGATAGATCCAATTCGAATTCCATCTTTGTTACATCTTGCAAGAAGGTCCTCCCATAATGGTTCATAAAGCTCCTTCGAATTAATTAGCCAGTGATACATATAGTTTGCTAAGATAAGGGAGTGGGATCTCTACTTTCGGAAAGCCACCACCAGGCGCCCCAATTATGGTAACGTCCCCAGGTTGAGGATTTGGGTTTTCAATGGGAACATACTTCTTCACCGCCAGCTTCAAGCGAGAAGCTTGTGAGACGGTGGCTCGAGGGTATTCGCGGATGTATTGTCCATCAACAATATGTTCCGTCACGGTAAAGGGGAAGTTTGATGTGTTGGCCATGTTTGCTGTAACAAATGAAACGTCTCATGGGTGCGTGAGGTTGACTATGATCATATACAGAATAGAACGAGCTACATCAGCCCTGTCCGAAGAAACGAGTTTGCTCCGACTTCTTTTTCACCGCTAGAAAGTGGACCGAACTAAGGGGTGTGATAATCAAAACTTTACTGAAAGGGTCAATAACTACATGCAGCCTGGAAGGTTCCAATACACATTGTCCAATGAGCATGTTACAAATACGAATGTTAAAAGAGCAAGGGGGGAAATCCGTACAATTTACGCTATGTAAATATTCCCGGTAGACTGAGGATACGCCAAAGTGGAATCTGTAGACCAATCTACATTCAATAGTCTTTCTTGGCGCCTATGTGGGATCTCGGCCAGCGCAGATCTCATCAATAGATCCGAAACATTCTCGATTCCAGGGGCGATCATATCCCAATTTGACAGTCGATCTCTGGTTCAATCTCTATTCTCCACAGCCGAGCGGATTCAGCTGAGACACTAGTTTAGTGTCGACTTTTCGCGAACGATCTGCGAAAAATTCGGATTCTATCTCCGGATGATCGGGAAAATATCAGAAAGACAAGTCTCGTACAGATACATAATTCCTTATTCACGCATTAGGATAGATATTGCAACCCATATCCAGAAGTACCCAATGGTTTAAATGGTAAATACCGATCCATCATTTATTCCAATGGATAAAAGAAAGCCGAATGGGGCCAAGCAAGCTCCATTCCATGTCTATAGGATAAGTAGTGGACCCTAAAGAGCATTTTTAATCATCAGCTTTGCCGTTCAAGTTTTTCTTTTTTTTTTTGTGACTGATACCCACTGTGATAATACATAAGCAAAAGCTAGTGTTTAACCAATTCAGGATACCATACGAACAAAATTCTATAAAAGAATGGGATAATCCTCGGTCAGGGTACAATACACGTGATTTGACCTCCTGGTGAAGATCATACCTTGATACCCACCCTCCCCTTTACATCCGCATCCCTACAAGTTCCAGAAAATGTCTTTTCTCGATTTGGATTGTGCGTATAACGAGGACTCACAATGGCAGAGGACTCAATGCATCGTCAGGCAAGATGTGCGTACTTACTGTCAAGAGCGAAACTCGAAACCGTCCACTTTCTTTCAAACAGTCTGGGCAATTGTCCTCAATAAATATACCGCATCTCATGGGGTGACGTTTGCTATCCACAGTAATGAGATCAATGGTGGATCCCCAACGATATGCGACGTCTCAATTGAGCCAGAAACGTCTATTGTCGACCTCCTAGCGGGTCATTTGACGTCGACCACGTTCACTACGGCCATGCCCAGGCAGTTCGCCTGTAATACTGGCGTTGTTATCGACAGGCAAGATGGCGAAAGCATTGAATCTCTTCCTCCACTGCAGGTTATTCTGCTTGCAAACACGACATCCTCCGAATTGTGGCTGTCATGTTCATCGAACATTTCCTCGTCATATGCAGACAACCTCCTTTCGACCATCGAACAGATAATCGAGGAAATTTTAGAACACCCGCATCGAGCAGTCAAAGACCTAAGTCTTTTCAGCATCCGCAACAGTCGTCAGGTCCTTGAATGGAACCGTCGCATCATGCCCAACAATATGGCCTCGATGGTTGACCTGATCCAACAACATGCATCGCAACGGTCAACCCACGAAGCCATTTGTGCCTGGGATGGTTCATTGGCTTACGCGGAGCTTGATAGTATGACCACTCAGTTGGCATACCACCTACGGACTATGGGCATTGGAGAGAATGATAAAGTGCTGCTCGGCTTTGAGAAGTCGATGTATGCAATTGTCGCTTTCCTTTCCATCCTTAAAGCAGGCGCCATTTTTGTTCCTGTCAGTCCCGCTTATCCTGTAGAGCGTATGCAAGCAATCATCGATGCAACTCATCCTCGTCTTGCTCTCACCTCGCCGGAATCCACACTGGTCTTCGAGCGTCACCAAGTTCCTGCTCTAGGCCTCAATCAATCTTTCATCGCCAAGTTATCGATCAAGGAAGATGAAGACCCTCTCCCTTCATCTGACCCACAACGCGTGGCATACATTCTTTTCACTTCTGGCAGCACTGGTCGGCCCAAAGGTTGTGTCATCGAACATCAAGCGATGGCGACTATGATCAGCCAAGGGCCGCCATTTCGCATCTACCCGTCCAGTCGTGTACTACAAGTTGCTCCGATCATCTTTGCCGCATCCTCGGTTGACATGTTCTTGCCTCTGCTTACTGGAGGGACCGTCTGCATCGCCTCGAAACACGATCTGATGAACAACCTGGCAGCTACGATGAAGCAGCTCCGGGTAACCTGGGCCTGTATGACCCCATCCGCTATCACCTCTGTTGATCCTCTGGAGCTGTCGGGACTGCAAACTCTGGGCTTGGTCGGCGAACCAGTGAGTGATGAATTGCTCAATAAGTGGGCGTCTTCCGTGGATCTTCTGTCAGGCTACGGTCTCTCGGAGATTGTGGGTGCCGGATGCATCTCTTCTCTCAAGGTAGATATGCACCCCCGAAACATCGGTCACTCTCCTACAGCTCATATCTGGCTGGCGGATCCAACAAACATAAACAGGCTTACACCGGTAGGCGCGATTGGTGAAATGCTGATCGAGGGACCAAATCTTGCCCGTGGGTATCTAGATGACCCGCAGAAGACGGCCGATACATTCATCGAGGCACCGGAATGGATTCAAGATTTCTATCCTGGACGGGGTCGACGCGTCGTAAGGACGGGTGATCTGGCTCGATACCATTCCGATGGCTCCATCGTGTATGTCGGCCGCAAAGACACGCAAGTTAAAATACGTGGGAAACGAGTCGAGCTGGGAGAGGTCGAAAGCATTATTCGCCTTCATCAAGCACCCGGCGACATGGTAATTGTGGAAGCGGCAGCTCCGCTGGACGGGGATGGCACTCCAATGTTAATCGGTTTCATCCACACTTCTGGGTCCTCCGAAGGGGGATTGGCGGATTCCACCTCGCTTATAGGACTACCGAATCAAATTTTTCAGGAGGAGACGTCGCGTCTCGATCTGCTGGTTCGCGCAGCATTACCGGAGTATATGATACCCAGCGTGTACATGGCACTCAATCGCATTCCCAAGACTGCCTCTGGGAAAACCGACCGTCGCGCGTTGCGGCTCGAGGTCGCCAGCATGTCTAGGCAACAGATTGAAGCCTACCACGATGTGGGTAATAAACCACAGGTTCGACCTCGTACTGATGCAGAAAATTCTGTACACGGGCTGTTTTCTCAAATCCTGAAGCGTGATCAAGACTCCTTTGGAATTCACGACCAGTTTATCCGATTGGGCGGGGATTCTATCAAGGCGATTCGTCTCGTTCAGCTGTGTCGAAAGTCTGGGTTAGCTGTCAATGTTGCTGACATTATGGAACCTGGCACAGTGGCTCAACTCGCCCAGATGGCCAATCGTTTGCCAGAGCCTATCCTTAGAAGTGATAGAAGACAAGTGGAAGTCCCTAGTGCTGCCGTAACGGAGCATTTGATTAACTTCGGTGTTGCCGTTCAAGAAGTGGAAGCGATGAATCCGTGCTCCTCGATGCAGGATGGGATTTTAATTAGCCAGCTGAAAAACCCTCAGCAGTATGCGCTGCGAGTTTTGTATGAAGCCCGGCTGTCCAGCACCTCGTCAGAAATAGACCTCGGCCGACTTCAAACGGCGTGGCAATTACTGGTTCGGAGCCACCCTATGCTGCGGACAATCTTTGTGACCAATGTGACACCTAGTGTGTTTGCGGTGCAAGTCCAGTTGAAGAGTGGTTCCATACCTCGGATCCATGGAATTAACGACAACTTGAAACCGGGCGATATTCTCGATCAGCGCCGGGAGTGTCAGCCCCCGAGCGCGCTGCCTCAATTTGATCTACACGTCGCTCCGAGTGGGCGGGTTATCATTGAGCTTGAACTGTCTCATGCAGTTGTTGATGGCATGTCCATGTCGATCATAATTCGAGATTTGTGTAGGCTTTACGGCGATACAAGTCCCTCTCTCTCAATCTTCAACTTTGCCGATCATGTCGAATACCAACGAAAGGTATCTACGGATGATTCTGTGTCCTACTGGAAGCAATATCTCGATTGCATGGTCCCAAGCCAGTTCCCCACAACCAGTGATGGTTCACCAGGCACGTCGAGAGAATCCAATCAAACGTCTCAATTCAAGGCTGTGTCTGTAGACGTTGGCCCAGCTGCAGAGTATCGAAAGTTTGCCCAAGATACCGGGACAACCGTGGCAAACATCGTAAAGCTAGCATGGTCTCTTGTTTTGCATGTAATGTGCCGCACAGACGACGTATGTTTCGGCTATCTTACCACGAGCCGTGACGCGCCTATTGAAGGCGCGCTAGAAGGCGTTGGGCCTCTGATCAACTTACTGGTGTTTCGGCAGCAGCTTGGTCGTGAATCCACCGTGGCACAAGTCTTGCAATCCATTCAAGCCGATTTCATCTCTAGTCTGCCTCACAAAGCTGTGTCTTTGAGCGATATTCGCCGGGCTCTAGACTTTGCCAGTGACGAGGTCATGTTCAACACCTGCATCAGCCATTTCCCCGTCACCGCCCCCGATGAAGCCGATGACTTGCCGATACTACTTCACGAAGTGGAGCGCCAAGATCCCACCGAGTTTGATATTTCCCTCGAGATCATGGAGTCGGAGAATGAAATCCAATCAAGTATCAAGGCGTATACTGGTGTGGTTTCACTAGAGCGCATGGAGCGAGTGGCGGCGCTGTTTGAACACTTGATGAAGACCCTCCTCGGGAACTCGAGTCGCACAATAGGAGAGCTTGGGGTGGTTCCTGAGAAGGACTGTGCCACAATTGGACATCTGAACAGGAGTATCACACAGCCTCCTATTGAACAATGCGTTCACGATATCATCTTGCAGCAGTGCCAGAATCGTCCTACAGCACCGGCTATTTGTGCCTGGGATGGAGACTGGACCTATGGCGATTTAGATCGCTTTTCTTCATCTCTAGCCCAACAGCTACAGTCACAGGATGTTGTGCCTGAGATTTTCGTGCCAGTTTTAATGGACAAGAGTCGCTGGGTTCCCATTGCCGTACTGGGAATCCTCAAAGCCGGAGGAGCTTTTGTCCTTCTCGATCCCACACAGCCAATCCAGCGACTCCAAGATATCTGCATTGATCTGAAGCCCAATACCATCTTGGCGTCGCCAGAATACCGTGCCACTGCCGCTGCCCTTGTCAGCAGCGTTGTCGTGGTTGGAAACGACCAGTCCCCTACTCTTGAGGTTGCCGAGCTCGACAAGGTTCCTAAGGTAGCAGTACACCCACGAAATGCAGCGTATGCAGTCTTCACTTCCGGATCCACGGGAAAGCCAAAAGGAGTTGCGATTGAGCACCGTTCCCTGTGTACTAGTGCAGCTGCGATGATGGAGCACTTGCCCTTGAACATCGACACGCGAATGTTTCAATACGCTTCACATGCGTTCGATGTGAGCGTTTTAGATCTCACCGTATGTCTTATGGCTGGAGGTTGCCTATGCATACCATCAGCTGAGGCCAGACAAAATCGCCTAACGGAAAGTCTCAACGATTTTTCTGTCAGCCTCGTCGCCCTAACTCCAACCGTCACTCGAACTATACAGCCAGAGCGCTTGACGTCCCTCAAAACCTTGAAAGTTAGCGGTGAAGCGCTATCGTCCTTTGACATTCAACGGTGGAAGAGTGCAGCCCCTCATATTCAGATCGTCAACATGTATGGGCCCGCAGAATGTACAATCAACGTCACGGTGCAAGGTCCTATTGGGCCGACATCCTATCCTTCGAACATTGGGTATCCGATGTCTAGTGCCACCGCATGGGTGGTTGATTCCGAGAACCACAACAGACTGCTTCCCATGGGAGCTGTGGGAGAACTAGTGATACAAGGCCCTGTAGTGGGTCGTGGCTACCTCAACCGCCCTGAGCAGACAGCTGCATCATTTATCCCGCCGCCAAGTTGGTTATCACAATTCAAACCGGTGGCAGCCGATGATGAGAGACTGTACAAGACTGGGGATCTTGTTCAGTACGCTGCAGACGGCTCGATGCATTACAAGGGACGCAAAGACTTCCAGGTCAAGCTTCGCGGACAACGACTTGAACTAGGTGAAGTTGAAGCGCAACTTCGTTGTGTGTTCCCCGATGCCTCTGATGTAATCGCCGAGGTAGCATCTTTGAACCAAGGCAAAACGACAGCCCTGGTTGCGTTCATCCATCAACCATGCTGGGGTAATAACCCGGACTTAATTACGTCTTCGGGAACCGGGGTTGACGACTCCAATTTTGGCTTACTGCACGCTCCTTGTGAGGCATTCGATCAGGCAGTCGCGCAAGCGAAAGTTACGCTGGCTGCCGCTCTTCCAAGCTATATGGAACCCAGCATCTATTTACCGCTCGTTCAGATACCCAGATCTCGGAGTGGTAAAGCTGACCGCGGCCAGTTACGGCAGATAGTCAACACTGGACTCCATGAGCGCTGGACAGGTGATGCCAGCACAGTGACGATTCCCCAGAGAAGACCAAAAACCGAGATGGAAGTTATTTTGTGCTCTGCTGTTGCTGATGTTCTAGGTCTGTCGGAGGCAGATATCAGTGCAGAGGACAGTTTCTTCCGCCGTGGAGGCGACTCAGTCGCAGCGATGATGTTGGTTGGAAGTTTACGAGAGCAGCGTTGCCATCTCACGGTTGCGGACATATTCGAGCATCCTCGGTTGGACATTCTGGCTACCAAAATGCATCGAGCGCTTCCCTCAAGTGTTGTCAAGATCCCGCTACCTTTCTCTCTCCTTGGAGACGATACAAGCTCCCATCAAGCGGTTATCGAACAAGCAATGAAACAGTGTACCGCTGCACAAGACGAAATCGAGGATATTTACCCCTGCTCACCACTCCAACACGCGTTCTTCCTCTTCAGTAGTACCCGCGAGGAGGGCACCCTGATTGCACGGTTTGCGTACAGTCTACGACCAGAAATAAACCTTGATAGGCTGCAAAAGGCCTGGAGCGAGACCACGAAGGCGCACCCGATGTTGCGAACGCGAATCATCCAAGTCGACGGTAAATCCAGCCTACATCAGGTGGTTCTCCGTCGCACAACAGACATCGAGTACTACGACTCGGATGAGCCAAACTATGCCCCTGACCTGCCAATTGAAGTTGCGCCTGGTAATCCACTACTGAGAATTTCTGTGGTGCGCCGGTCATCATCCGCGCAACAGCAACACCGGCTTGTTATCAGCTTGCAGCACTCCCTCTACGACGGATGGTCTCGAGCATTATTCATGCAAGAGCTTGAGCGAGCCTATTTTGGCCTTGCCTTGCTTCCTTTGCCTGTCTCCTCATTTATCGGACATCTAGACCAGGCCAATGAAGGAGCCAGGCAGTTTTGGACATCAGAGCTGATGGATCTTCGGAGTACAATATTCCCTCAAATTCCCTCAGCCTACACTCCTCATCCAAGTGCCACCTTGGTTCGAAATGTCGCTATTCCGAAACTCGCATCTCCCCAGATTACCCTATCAACCAAGATTCGGTGGGCATGGGCCCAGGCCATATCGCTCCAGACTAGCAACTCCGAGGTAGCAATGGGCCTAGGAACAGCCGGACGAGGGACTCCAGTTGCAGGAATCGAGAAGATGGTCGCGCCAACAATGGCCATCTTCCCCTATCGGCTTCACATCAACCCTAAACAGAGAGTTATCGACGCTCTTCATGACTCCCAACATCATTATAGCCAAATCTTGCCACACGAGCACTACGGCACGCCAAATATCTGTCGCGTTGCGACAGGCCCGACGTCTCCCGCCGCGATCCAAACGCTTTTGATTGTTCAACCACAAGCGGAACAGAGTCCTTCCTCACTGTATCTTGAAGAAGAGATGCTTCCTCAGACGGGGGCCTTCCATGTGCGTGCACTGACGTTGCACTGTCACCTACAAGAAACGTCCGTCGAGACTGTCGCCTGCTATGACGACAAGGTCATTTCGGAGAAGGAAATGCTTCGAGTACTTTCTATGTTTGATTTGATCTTTGAGCAGGTCTGTCAGGAGCCTAGTATACTTGTTGAGGAGTTGAAGGTGGTTCCAGCTCAGGAGTAATCGAAGCTGTCACTGGGTCTGATTATGTCTACATGGAATTGGAATAACGATAGAGCACGTCGATTATGGTAAAAGTCGTTGGTGATTACCCGTCTATGATTAATATTACCTGATTAGCCCACCATTTTGAAAACACTATACGTTGCGTACTGGAAAATGGGCAAAAAAAAGGGTGAGAAAAACAGAAGCCGAAATAGAGCAATATCAGTGCATGGAAAGGCTTTTTAAACGTGCCAGAGTAGTCAGCCATGGTTTTTCAACGGGTCAGTCAAAAACCTAGAATATTTTGTTAAGCAGTCATAGGCGAACCCGATAGCTTTGTTACGGTCGACTTGGCCGATAGGATGTATGGTGAGAGCGGCGGCAATTCTTTTCCCCAGTGTGTGGTTCACAATGCCTGGTCCAAGTTTCCCGATTGTTCCTGCTACCTCACTTTCCAATATGTCAGTGTTCTTCTGCGGGAAAAAAAAAAGTCGTCAGCATCAGCAAATTTTGTATCAAAACAAAAGGCGTGTCTTACTAGATATCGTCAAGATTCGGCAGCTGTTGAATCAATATGGCGAGAGCATCCTCTGGTGGCTCATCTGGATCCTGCAACCAGCTACTTGAGCAATTTATTGTCACTTTGCGCACCCAGCTTCTTAGATTGACTTTTCTTTCATCCAAAAGGTAATGAACAAGGCACTTAGATGGGCTCTCCACTTTAGGCTTATCGAAGTCGTCCCAGGATGTCCGCGGATAACTCAGGTCTACCGATCGGTATAGCAACGGCGTGGCCACTTCATTCCAGGCTCTTGATACTAAGCGCGCTTTTTTCAGGTCGCTGTAGTTGTCCAACTAACCTTCATTGTGAGTAGGTCGGACGCAAGTCCGGTGAGCGAACGTACCTGTTGGAAATTGAGATAGTTACACTATGTCCAATGATTGTGGGGCCCCTATTTTGTCGATCACTTCCTGTTTCACGTACAGTAGAAAGGAGAGAACTGCTCGTATTGAGATGCGCAGAGATGTTGAGGCTTTTGTTTAGAGAAGCGACCGGAGCTCCGCGAGCCCCTGTTTGATACTAACTCGTTTGATACTTAGTTCCAGGGATTTTGTCGCCCCCATTTAGCGATTCTTATCATAGAGCCCGACCACTATGAAGTGATAGATTAACTTATGGCAAAGAAAATATCCTGCTAGTAATGGATTTCTTTTTCAGGTGATATCAACGGTTGAAAGCCTCACTGTATGTAGTGACAAACCTTAGAAAGCTCTACAGCGTAAGACAATCACCAAAAATTCTTTGATGATTCAGGGTACCCAGGTGCTACTACTTCGTACTGTGCACTATATATATTGTGTTGCTGTCTCTAGTAAATTCCTTTGTAGATCTCGTAGTATGGTTAGACCGCTCATTGTTATTTCACTGTACCTGCCGGGATTTAATAATTAAATTGCAAACTTCTTCAAGCTGTGGTCATGGCCGTAAATACAGAACTGGTCGATGTTCTCCACATACAAAATGATGGCTTCTCGTAGGAATCTGAACATCGCGGCACGAAAGAAACGTCCAAAGCTTGGCCTCGTGGCGCAATGGTAGCGCGTCGCTCTCCTAGTCGCTGAAAAGCAACTCTTATTCTTAAAGCGGAAGTTGTGAGTTCGAGTCTCACCGGGGTCGCATTTTTTATTTTTAATTTATTTTTGCCGTATAGCAGCCCCACACCTAGTTATATACTTTTATCACCCACTCACTAATCAATAGAAGCTAGCATATTTATTTTTAATCGGACAAACCTACTTGCATAGTGTTACTATGTAGATGTTTCCTGTGCTAATACTAACTAGGTCTTTATGAGAGCTCTATATTGGATGCATTAGATAACCCAAAGTAGATAACTATCTATGAAACTACCTCGTCACTTTCAAACCTAACAATTCGATCAACCTAATAAATCTCTTTTCTTTTAAAAAAAACCCAGAGATTGAAGCTCAGCCCACGCATCGATCCGTATAACAGATCCATAGGAACCGGGTCACCGAACAGAATCTCTAATATGAGCCTTTATAATAATAGGTTTTAAGTCGGTGGACTATAGAGGTGCTTGATATTTTATGTGACTCACGGGTATCGTTGCAGTTGAACTCCAGATTGCTAGCTCTATTTTCTCTCGCCCAAACCCAGCCTGTGTTCGATAACCTTGACAATCTCAGTCCATTCCAACATAGCACCACTCCCTGCGTCCCCGCATGCTAACACCTTCGACGCCTGCGGTGCTAGCACCTCAAACCAACCAGTCTCTTCCCCCGTCTCCTCATCTCTTCTAACACCCCACTCTTCCCCAAGCACCTTCATATGCCTGGCCGTCACTGGATGCCGCCACATCGCTGTATTCATCGCAGGTGCAACTATAATCCGTTTCCGTTGCCCATCAACTTGGCCATCGGTATCCCACGCCCGACATACCGACGTCAATAAATTATCGCTAAGTCCATTGGCGAGCTTGGCTAAGGTGTTTGCGGAAAGAGGAGCAATGACGAGGATGTCTGCCCAGCGCCGCAGAGAGATATGCAAGATATCAGCGCCGCGGCGCCAGGGCTCTGGGCCCCACTCTGCACTGTCATCATAGATGGCTTCCACGCCAGGAAGGGAGAGGAGGGAGGAGACGGTAGGTTGCTCGGCAGACTGGCCGCCTAGGAAGTGTTTGGCGTTTGATGTGAAAATTACTCGTATTGATAGCTTGTGAGCATGTGGAGCGAGGGCGCTGAGGATGTTGAATATTTTGATAGTTGCAACTGATCCAGTTGCTGCAAGTAGGAGGTGAACACGATTGTCAGAGAGTGATGCATTCACATCCTCGGTGGAATTCTTGTTAGAGGTGCCATCGATATAACCACCAGGGAGGGTCGTTTCGGCCATTCTGATTCTGGGTGTAAGCTCCACAAAGGCCTCAATGTGTCAATCAAGCCCACGAGCCACTAACAATTTGGAGCGGTTGTAGTCGGATAGGTAAACGGAACAAGATCAGAAAGAATGATACCATTCCAAATATTGCCATTAGACTCCGCTTTTAAGCCAGCGACCCACAGCGGGGATCTCCACGCTAAGTAACTTTAGTACTAGTGCAACATCAGATTCCCTTAACCCTATAAAATCTTAAGGTTTGCAAGTCTATGAAGTGACTGAATGATACTGAAGATCTTGTCAAGAGTCCTTGGTGAGTATGTATCTTGACAGTGAAGATGTTTCTTCTCATTATCTGGTCTTTTTCTTTTTGTTCAATTCTCAGGTAGAGTGCAATAAATTTGATCAACTCACCAAGCCATTCGCATGGACAAATACACATCTAGCCGGGACATAAAAGATACTTACATGCCTCGCTTTTTAAGGACGAGTCTAGGTTTAAATAGTTCTTCTTTTGATGCTACCTGTGTCATGGGAAGTTTGTAAATAGGGGATCATAGATATATGACCTAAAAGTACATATCCGTATACATTGAAGCCGCTACAAATTAAGTTGTGTTAAATGTATCATAAATGAATATATTTGTAAAATATAAACAGAAGCTATTTGATATAGAATACCCGAAACCCGGGGGGCCCCGGATGGCGAATATCGCACGTGACCGCAGAGGACTTTGAAATTGCGACAACATGCTTGGACCAGGGGTACAGATCACATGACACCGACACCGGCCTCGATTTGCGGGAACTACAAAAACTTTGCCAACTTCACCAACGTCGTGGTACCGTTGAAAATGTCTAGGCAACTACGTACGCTGTTGCGCAGACCGGTGAGTGATGAATTTCCTGCTAATTACGCGATTAAAGCTGACTCTCCCAGCTTTGGCCTCGGTTGAGTCAACCGGCCGGTCTCCCGAGCCTCACGAGCAGGAGAATCCCTCAACACTTCCAATCGGTTTCGATTTCCCCGCCTGCTCGCTTCCTGAGCTCGACTGCCGTCGCGCGGGCCGAAGCTTTCCCCTCGCAGCTCGAAAATGCTTCTTCAGCCCCTACCGCTGAGATTGGGCGGTCGCAGACTTTGACCGAGAAGATTGTACAACGCTATGCAGTCGGTCTCCCCGAAGGAAAGCTCGTCCGAAGCGGCGACTATATTAGTCTTGCCCCCGGGTACTGCATGACTCACGATAACTCGTGGCCCGTCGCTCTCAAGTTCATGTCTATGGGAGCTACGCAGATCAACAACCCGAAGCAGATCGTCATGACCCTTGATCACGACGTTCAAAACACCAGCGCATCAAACCTGCAGAAATACCAACAGATCGAGACTTTCGCTGGACAGCACGGTATCGACTTCTATCCTGCCGGACGGGGTATTGGACACCAGGTTATGGTGGAGGAAGGATATGCGTGGCCCGGTACCATGGCGGTAGCCTCCGACAGCCACAGCAACCACTACGGCGGAGTTGGCTGTCTTGGAACCGCTGTTGTGCGGACAGACGCTGCCAGTATCTGGGCAACCTCCCGGACATGGTGGCAGATTCCCCCTGTTGCGAAGGTAACGTTCACCGGGACGCTACCAAAGGGCGTGACAGGTAAGGATGTTATTGTCGCGCTGTGCGGTATGTTCAACAGCGACGTTCTCAACCATGCAATTGAGTTCACTGGCTCTGAAGAGACCATGGCAAGTCTACTTGTGGATAGCCGTATGACTATTGCCAACATGACAACTGAGTGGGGAGCGCTCACTGGTCTATTCCCCATTGACCGGACACTGGAACGCTGGCTACGATACAAGGCCACCGAGGCAGCCATGCTTGACGACCGGACAACCCGGGAACGTATCACGCACGAAAGGGTCGATGAGCTGTTCGCCAATCCCCTCAAGGCGGATCCTGATGCTGTTTACGCCAAGCAGCTCTACCTCAACCTTTCTACCCTGTCCCCCTATGTCTCAGGCCCCAACTCAGTCAAGGTTGCCACACCGCTCAACGAGCTGGTCCAACAGAACATCAAGGTCAACCGCGCCTACATCGTCTCTTGCACGAACTCGCGTGCTTCTGATCTCGCGGCGGCCGCTAAGGTCTTCAAGGACGCCGCCAAGGCCAACCCCGACAACACTGCCAAGATTGCTGACGGTGTCAAACTATACATCGCGGCAGCTTCTGCACCCGAACAGGAGGCCGCTGAGGCGACTGGCGACTGGCAGGCGCTGCTTGATGCCGGCGCCCAGCCGCTGCCTGCTGGTTGTGGACCATGCATTGGTCTCGGCACAGGTCTCCTTGAGCCCGGCGAGGTTGGAATCAGTGCCAGTAACCGTAATTTCAAGGGACGCATGGGTTCGCGTGATGCCCTGGCCTACCTGGCCAGCCCCGAAGTGGTCGCTGCCAGTGCTCTGAGCGGCGTTATCTCTGGCCCAGGTGCCTACGAGGTGCCACAAGGCTGGGATGGTGTTGAGCATGGCTTCGGCACCGGTGCGGAACCCAGCACCGTGGACGAGCTCTCCAACATGCTTCAGCAGATGGAGTCCTTGATCGACCGTGTTGAGTCTGCCGATACCTCTGCCAAGCCTGCCACTGAGATTCTACCCGGCTTCCCCGAGAGGATCTCCGGCGAAATTGTCTTCTGTGACTTCGACAACCTGGACACTGACAACATCTACCCTGGAAAATTAACATACCAAGACAACGTCTCGAAGGAGGACATGGCTAACGCCTGCATGTCCAACTACGATCCCGAGTTCAAGGGAATTGCCAAGCCCAACGACATCCTCGTCTCCGGCTTCAACTTCGGCTGCGGATCCTCAAGAGAGCAGGCTGCTACTGCCATTCTCGCCAAGCAGATTCCTTTGGTCGTTGCCGGCAGTTTCGGAAACATCTTCTCCCGAAACAGTATCAACAACGCACTTATGGGCCTTGAGGTTCCCAAGCTTATTGAACGCCTGCGCACTACCTTTTCGGAGCGTCAGCCCACCCGCCGGACGGGCTGGACTTTGACTTGGGATGTGAAGCGCAGTGTTGTCGAAGTGCAAGAGGGCGAGGGCGGCGATAAGTGGACCGAGCAGGTCGGCGAGCTACCCGCCAATGTGCAGGAGATTATTGCGGCTGGCGGCCTTGAGTCGTGGGTCAAGAATGAGGTTCAGAAGTCGCAGTCGCAGTAAAAACATGGTGATATACGCATGTATAGGGCTTAGTTGCGGCATTTTGGTCATTTTTGACCTGAAAAAATAGAAGATGGAAAGGCAAGGATGAAGAAAATAGATAGAAGACTCGAAGGAGTGTATAGTATTCGAAGAATAATAGGAATGTTTGTATCAATATGAGATACCCCCAGTTTGCGACTTGATGTACTTTGCTTTGTATACAAATTATTTTCAAATCGCAGTATGCCACTGAGATTGAGCACATGGGATTGACCATAGGGAGTCAATCCCATGTGGTCACCGACAATTCGTGTCAATGAGCTAATGCTTTGAGCGAGGGAGGATCAAAGTCCGTAGCATTGACTATAAGAACCAAGTTAGGTCAATCGCAAATCACGAAGAGGATAATAAATACCAATAGAGATCATAATAAACCCAAACTCATCAGCCTCCTCTAACCACCTTTCAGCCCTAGCATCCATAACAACCCCAGGCCGAATGTTCCCAAATTCACCCTGCAGATAACACTGACCGCTCCAGCGCGACAGCCAGTGAATATACCGCGTATTCCACTCCTGTTCGGACTGCGCCTGCCAAAGCACCTTTGCAGCTGGGGCAGGCATAAAGCCCAAATCCCTACAGTCGAAACATGGCACCTCATGCAATACCGAGTACGCCCAGTGAAGGAGATATAGGGCAAGTACTGCGCGGCGTTTCGTCGTAACGTGTACCCATGCTTCCCACGACGGTCTCATTTGTGTTCGCTCTTCTTCGAGGAAGAGGCCTGCATGCACGATTTGATAGACTAGGAGCTCGACCTTGCGGAAGACGATGTTATGGTCTGTTAAGGGGGGTTGGGAGCTGGATGATGGGGATAGGAGAATGATCGTGTATATGACCACTGCTTGTAATGATGCTAGTAGGTCTGTTTCATCGAGTTGATTGGACTGTGTTCCGGTTTCCCTGTCAATTGGATTTACTTGGAAGGGAGGAGAGAAGTGACGAACCTGATTTACTATATTGTCTAGCTCTCCTAGAATTGTTTTGCGTACCATCTCCTCTGCGCCTTCGCATTGCCCGTGCCACATTTTGGTCAGGGTTATGCATTTCGCTAGTGGCAATGGTAATGTTTTACCTTGTGTGATGTGCGTTGAATGGAATAGCGGTGGTAGCTGGAACTCTTCGGCCAACATTTTTGGCCAGCTTTTGAGAACTCGAAAGATGAGTTCCATGCTGTGACGAGCCAGAGCGATTGAATTCGTATCTACCGATGGGCTATGTCGGCCAGGTGGAAGTGAGATGGCTCGAATTAGTTCTGGAGATTCACATTCATTGTTATCATTCAAAGAGAGGAGATCTGCGTCCACTGTGCGTCGTGGAGAGCGGAGATTGAGGTTCGTTGGTTGCGTCAGATCCCAGGACGCTAGACTCGAGAAGCATGAATCAAACAGATTAGGATCGAAGATTGATTGCGAATCTTGTAGTTGAGTAGTAAGTGATGGTACGGGAGACGTGTCCGCACCGCCTCCCCTAATGCTGAAATCGTGGTTCTCAGTTTCTAGAGTCAGGGACTCAGTCGATTTGGCACTCGTATATTGACAGGAGACACTCCGTAGAGAACACCGCGAGCAAGTGGGACGTCTCAAGTTGCACTTGGCTTTATCAGCAACACACTGGTGACATGATTTGCGTCTCAGGCTTTGCGATTGCGATTTGTTGCAGTTGTTCTTCAAATGGCGGATAAGCGACGATCCTGAAGTGGCGTTAGTCGGAGGTCTGAACTAGCCACACTGAATACATACGATGACTAAAATGTGTACCACAGAATGGACATCCAGCCTTTTTCTCATTTACTGTTTCCATCGTGGAGATTAAATCCTGCATGAGGCAAGAAGGGTGTGAAATGAAGTGTGTTCCCTTCAACTCGGAACTCCGGGTTGCGGGGTACGAAGAAGCATATAAGGCTGCCCAGGTGGTTCATACATATCCACGCAATTCACGATCACATTCACAAACTACAAAATGACAATTAATCATATCTTCTTTTGGGCTTCCGCAAGCAAGATCGTAGCCCTGCGGTCGTTTTATCGTGCTATCCTCCAGCCCCTGGGTTATACTGAGATTATACGTGCGAACAACGAAGCGCTCATCGGATATGGAAGTGATTATCCCTACTTCCGGCTAAAGAAACTGCCTGAAAACAAAGAGCCTTTGCCAACCCACATCGCGTTTGATGCTCCAAGTAAGCCTCCTTACATTGGATACCCGGAAGAGCTCTTAATGTATGGAAATTAAATAGGCCGCGAAGCTGTGGATCAGTTCTACCACCTGGCACTGTGAGTCTCACTATTCCTTTCTACGCCACAAAGAGAGCTTCAATGCCCCTCTTTGGTTATAGTTGACAATGCGCTGAAACAACCACAGGCAACATGGAGGACGCGACAATGGAGGCCCAGGTATCAGGGAAGAGATGAGCCGGCAGCCCTACTACTCGGCTTTTGTTATTGATTTGGAAGGAAATAATGTCGAAGCTGTGTGTGTTCCCAAGTGAAGGCTAGCTCATTAATGCTGGGACGACGAAGCTTATTACCTTCGAACTGCCGCATACACATCGGATTTCAGCTTCCTTTCCGATTGCCCATCCCTTGCAGCTTAGGTATTATTGAGCAAGTGTGAAAACTGAACACATAGTACAGACGCGCTCGAAATCGGGTTCACAACTGTATTTTAAATCAATCTCGTACATTATTTTGAAACTATTTTTGATATAAAAGTTCAGATCACGAAACGTATTATTATGCAACATCACACCCATGGATGGTCCCAGCACTGGAGCACACCCAAGCTGAACATGTAATACCGTCGCACTACTTCCAGTGATGCCAGCAGCTAGCCACCAGGTGCTCGTAGTCGCAGACGCTAGTCTTCGACTGAAAGGCGGTTCCGGGGCCACAGGTCTTCAAAACGGGCTTCCCACCAACGGGGCATTCGTAGAATCGGTGGCAGTCTTGAGGATCGGCCCATGCCACAGCGCCAGCAGCAATTTCGGAGGCTGGGGCAGCAGTAACAGAGGTGAAGAGCACGAAGGCCATGAAAGAAGTAATGGTTTGATACGGGAACTGCATAGTGCAGGCTAATGGATCAATTAGCAAGAGCGTCGGACAAGAGTTGGAAGGTGTCTAAGACATACTTGACTTATTTTCGGAGAAATGAAGCACGAAGATGAAGATTGAGGGCAAGTGAGAACTGACAACCTGAATGACTGGTGGTGGTGGTGGTGGTTTTGGTGGTGGTTAAAAAATAATCATAGATGGTGAGGTCAGTCTCGGGCTTTATAGGTCTGGTGGATCTTCTGTATCGGCCATTTCTAACCTCTCGTGGCCTGCTACATTGTTTACTTGTTGTTTTATTTTTCTCTTTTTTAGAGCGAGAAAACCCCAATGTGGATATTGCCAAAAGGTAACATTCTTGCCCTCGGTAGGGCGCCTCTTTAAGGTATTGTGGGGGCGCATTGTGTATGCCCCAGCATACCTCGCCCTCCTTACTAGAAGAATTTGAAATTTAAGTAGCCGCTGTCCCTTGTGGGCCTTGAATTCCCTTTTTGTTTTGGTTAGCTGTCATGCTGTGGCTTTAAGAAAAACATCGATCGGCGGATGTCGTCGACAAATCATGTTTCACTAGCACTTCACGAGATATTCCACTTTCCGCCAAACCACGCATCATGTAACCTCGGAGCAATACTAAGAATGAATTCCAAAGGCCCCGATGATGATTTTCTCTAAGAGCCATGAGCTAGGAAGCACTCGCGGTCAGGGCTACGTCCTATTCCATATCCTCTAACGGAGCGCATATTTTTTTTGTCTTCAGAGTAAGTATCTCTATGCCCATTAAGACGTAATGAACGAAAATGCAGAACAAAATCACCGGATTGACTTGTTCTCCAGCCGCAAATACTGCGAAACAAGACCTCTCAAACTTTCTTCGAAACTCGTGAACTGCCAACCGAACGTATCTTCCGTGCTCTGAGCTTCCAGTCTCCATTTTATTGCAGTCAATGACCCTACTAATGGTAGCATTCCGCTTTTCACCTCTTCGGGGAAGATCTTCCTGCAAATCTCCTTCACATCTCTATCCCAAACTACTCCATCTGGAGTATCCGAGGACAAAATGTACTCCGAGTTTCCAGGAACCACCCCACAATCTATCGCGTCGACATGTGCCCGCGCAACATCGGCAACATGTACTGGAGTACCAACGTAAGGGAATGGAGAGTTGAGTGAGGAATTTAGCGCGGGTGCAAGCACGGCTGCTCGGGTGCCCTGAAGGAGGCTGTCTCCAGTCGCAGTTGGATCCGCATTAAGACGATCATCTGGGCCAATTACCACGGACGGTAACAGGTTCACAAAGTCAAAGGTTGGACGCATATCGCGGACGAATTTCTTGGTCTCTACTCGAGCTAGAGCTTTGGATGCCCAGTAGGCTTCCATGGCACTTGAAAAGGGACCAGTGAGGCTGGTATTTGTATCAGACACTAATTTTATGCATGCGGCGTGAGTTTCTGCAGCAAATTTGTTTCGTGGAATGGTATACCGACCTGTATATAGTCTCTCGCTGTCTGGATTCATGTTCCATTCAAATGGAATTAACGTCACACCTGCAAGTTTCATTAGACTTTTGTTTGGACCAAGAAGTGACCGAGAATTTGCGCACATGAAGAAGTCAATACCACTCTACGGATTGCTGCTACGCGAGTAGCTGCTTCCAGGACTGTCGTCACCATAGCTATAGCTGGCTTCACAATACCCGCATCATAGTCATCGGTCTGTTAAGAATATTGTTGGTTTTAGAAAGCAATTGGGTCGAGGGGACAAATTACCTCAATTGCCAAAGGTGACGCTAGATGAATGATAACACTGATTCCATCAAGACACTGGAAAAATGCATCTTTCTCGAGGAAATCCGGGATGACAGCGAAGTCGAGTTTCCTTTTGTCAAGGCTTTGTGCAATTACGATGCTTTTACTTTTCAAGTCATCGATATTGCTTTCGCTCCGGACAACTGCCCGAACCCGATACCCTCTTTCGAGAGCAATTGTTAAAGTCTTGAATCCGATATAACCAGTAACACCTGTAATCTGCTCTTGATTGTGAGGACCTCTTTTTGTGTTTTTCTGTTAAACAATGGGAAATATGCGGGAGTTGCTTACCAGAAGATGCTCGCGGCTAGCATCCTGTGTTTTGTTTGCCATTATGGAAGACTGGGAGTTTATTATCAATTATGTTCATGAGCCAATGCGGTGCTAATGCTTATATTTATATAACCACAGTACACAGGGTGGACTCATCGCCCACTATGTGCTTACCGGAGCTCGGAGTTCCGGGTTGGCAGGGTTCTAGACACGGAAACCGCGACGAAACAGCCTTGCGATAGAAGAGCATGAAAGTTGATACAAAAAGAAGGAAAAGAAGAACAAATAAAGAGTGATATAGCAATTATACTTTTTGTGTCAAAATCACTTTGGCTTGATAACCAAGACCATAATAATAAACGACCAAGAAGCTGTCTTTCTACACCAAGCCCACCACCTCCATCTTGAAACCAGCATTCCTGAACCGGTCAACATATTCAATTCCCAAAGAAGATAGCGTGACAAATCTACCGCTCCCATAAATATCTTTTCCCATTTTCTCAGCGCTGGCATTGATCGAGCAATACACCTGCTCCAACACACTCCCGAGGGCAGTCAGCTCATGCAATGACCCTTCGGACGTAAAAGATGCCCAAGTCTGAGCTGGGTTCTCTCCAGTTTCTTTATCAATAGCACGAATTTCTGCCCGTTGCATATTTCGCAGCTTATCTATATCACGAGCCGAATCCATACCCCTCGCAAGCATTCGAATGATTCCATTGATCAATGATATTGTCAAGAGGAGCAATGCAGGATTGGTGAAGAGATGCACACAAACTGCGGATAGCACAATGCTCACTGGGACGTACTCTTCATAATGAAACCCAAGTCCATATAGATCTCGATTTTGTGAAGCCCTGCTATGATGACCTCATTTCCTAGACCTGTAAAGGATGTTGTCAGGTAGCCTAGTCATTTCAGGTGGCGGCATCAGAGAGTTGTATGGACCACGGTAACTTTGGGACTTTCTTTATAGTTTTATGGTAATTCGGGGCAATATAGTGTGCACATAGCCTCCCAGTAAAGCCGGTTGCTCTGAAAAGAACATTGTCCTACATCTTTACCCTGTTTGATTGACAGTGATATATAAGAGCAAGTTCCACTAAGGGATATGATTCCTTGTTAAATAGACTGATCCCTAACCCAATTAATAAACCACTGGGGTTCCGTGTTGAGCCCTAACAAGCGCTTGCAAATAAACTCGGAGTTCCGAGCACAATGTCATAACTTTACTTCACATTTCTTTAAAATTGATAATCTCCTTAGCCGCAGAAACACAAATCTTGTATTTGCACAGGATAACTCATACAATAATTCAAAGCACGCATCGGCTATATTCATGCCTTAATTCAGAAGCACAGCACCCGCAAGGATACCACCCATAACCAACATCGGTGCAGTTGTTTTGACTGCAATATTGCCCGACTTCGTAGAAGTAGCAGTAGCAGTAGCACTAGTATCCTGGGAGTTTGACGCGCCCTGACCGGTCAACTCAGCCGAAGAACCAGTAGTATCAGTCGTAGCTCCAGTCGCCGTTCCGGTTGCACTAGTAGATCCAGACTCAGCTACAGTCAAGGTGACCGGATAAACTTGAAAGTCCATCAAGTCATCAGGAACATTCATCGTGGCTGACTTGGTGGTAGTGGAGCTGCGGAACTCATAGGAATCTGTGTATGAATAGCGGGCAGCCGTCGGCGACGGGGAGCCGGTCAACGTGCAGGCAGAGCTCGAGTAGCTATGAAGGATTAGTGCCTTTTTCTTTTTTGGCTCCTGTGTATGCTCATTGGCTTACCCGGTGAATCCACCAGGGTTTGTGGTTATAAGTTCATAGGCTATATTCGATGGAGTCAGGTTTACTATTTTGATACCTTTCGGAATGGATGCAATGATGCTCACTGTTAGGTGCGACAATCAACGTTATCGGCGGATCAAGCGTCAGGCAATGGCTACTTGCTGGACAGTGCGGTTCCACATGATAGGTTGTTCTCTCGCCATTCTGGGCGGACCTTTAGCATCAGTGTCTCTGGGGGAGAAGCACTACTTACTTCTGCTACCAGTGTGCCCTGCCATTCATTGAAATAGTTCCCAGATCTTGAATACCCGACCCACGGAATGGTCTGTCAACTGTCAGATTGTAATTTTCAGGATTTGAGGAACGGGACATACGACAGGATAATCTGCAAGGCTGAGAGAGGCAAATAAAGATGGATCTCTATCTTGGCAGGCAAAGGAAGAAAACGAGATGACTCTGCAGAACCCCTAAAACGAGGCTGGTTAGCCCTTTAAAGTTGGGGGGCAAATACCGAGCCCGGAATGGCTTAGTGAAACCTTTCTGGCTTAGGGCTTACCTCTACAAGAAAATCACAACACAGGGAAGAGCGAAACGGGCCCGGTAAAAAGTAAAAAGACTATGTACTCACGCCAACGCGCGTATTTCAGGAAGTACTTCTATATGGGATTGTTCTATATACAGATCAATCAATAACACTTTTGTTATCAGCCCAACTAGGCTGAATACTCCGACAAACAGCCTCATAATCCTGGAAGCGCCGAGAGTCCTCGGGTAACCCAGCAGTAGTCCAAAACATAGTCCAGTTACTATCAGCCAGCTTCCAAGTTCCCGCCGAGCGCTCAAAGTACCACTTATTTACGGGGTTGTCTTTACGACTCCGCCAGCAAACCCCATTGGGGAAACAGGTGCGTACCATCGCATTGAAGACCACGTCGGCGACACCACCTGCGCCTTGGCTTCGCTTCAGCACGGCGAATTTATCCAAGTAGGGGACCATGCGGGCGGCGCTTGCCTCGCTGCCGTCGTCGACCACTCCTGGTGGTGTCTCCCAGGTTAGGATGGCGCCGCCTTCGTATTCGCCTGCGACAATTATACCTGCGATGCGGTCGTTGACTCGTTCGAGGTAGTTCTGGACGTCGAGTTTGCGGTCGAAGGAGTCTTCGATTAGGTGGACTAGGCGGGGGAGGTCGATTGTTGGGTCGTTTAGTTGTAGTCGGGGTTGGGTGTTGGCTGTCCATGTTTGCACGTGTGGGTTTGGGAGGATTGTGAGAGGCATGCCGCGCTTCACGAAGGTTGTGTGGGACGTGTAAGGGCTGACTGTGATTGTTTTACCGTTACTGGAGGCACCGCGTCGACCTGGAGGTAACGAGGAGGAGAGGAGAGGCTTGTCAGTGAGGAGGTTGTGGATCAGCGGGTTGCGCTGTCGCCGGGTTCCGACGGCTGAGAGATCTGATGCGGCCATTGAGGGGGCTCGAGCCGAGTGGGAGACCTCTTGTGGGGATGTGATGATACCCGATGAAGCGGATGGTAGCATTGCCAGTGCTTGTTGAGCCAGTCGGAGGTTCTCGAGATGACCATCGAGTACCTTCTGCATTGCCTCGGCGCCGGGTGATTGGTCGGATTGTCCAGGTGAGACGATCTCTCGGTTGACGAATTTCGAGAAAGGATTGCTGTCCAAGATTGGATATGTGGCTTCGGTGTTGACCTGTCTTGTGGGATCGGGATCGGTTCCAGATACAGTTCGTCGTGCCTGGGAGAGCTCATTTGCAATTTGATCAAATTCTTGCTCCATGTTGATGAAGACATGGGATGATTGTGGTCCAGTAAACGCAGGGATTCCTCCAAGAGCATCAAGGACAATGACACGATCCAGAGAGACTTCTTTTTGAAGAGCAGTGATTCTCTCAACCGTGACTGCGGGATCCTCATCCGGGTGTGGGTTTGAGGATAGCCCGGCAAACTCTTTCGTCAATGCAAGCGCAGCATCATTGGCAGACACTGGAACGGCACGAGGACTGACTTCTGTATAAGCGATCGGCGGGACGAGAACCACATGGCCATCCCGCAGAGCACTCAGAAGCACTTTCCGAGATAGCACCGTGGGCGGACCAGAGCCTCGCTCCGAGATGGTTAATGCAGAGTCCATTCGGAAAGATTTCGAGTCGGGCTGCTCATCGACTGCAGCCGATATCCGATTTGCTTGGTCAATGGCTGTTTGTCGCACTGCAGCAGCGCTATCCAGCTTTCCGGGATCGACAACTACGCAGCATGCCATTCCTAGGCGCACGAGCTGCGACAGGGTCTTGGCCACTCCATCGATGACGGAATCATCGAGCAACTGTGGTGTAGTAATTTTGATCAGGGCCAAGTGTAGCCTTTCCGGCAATTCCTGTTCTCGTGGAGTAGGCGTAGTATCTTGTCGGAACACAGGACTGTCGTAAACGGCCCTAGAAGCACCGTAGAACGAGCCCAAATTCACACCAGAGGGAAGCGATGCCGATGAGGGCTCATTCAGAGGCTCGGTAGGTGATTTTTGGGCAGACTTGGTAGGGCTGGCTTTGAGCCGAGCTAGGTAGGACTTAGCTTCGCGCTTGGTGGATGCGGAGCTCAGCAAGCTGAGAAAGAATTCCTAAGCCAAGCAAAATGTCAGTATACCGAAATATTTACATAACAAGAACTCATTCTCATACCCGATCAAGCAATTTCTCCTTCGCTCGGCGACCTAAGCGGTCCTGGCTCTCGCTGCTGCCCGAGAACTCGGCAATTTGAGCTCGGAGATTGAGTGACTGTGCCGGGCGCATCGAGGTGGGGTCAGGACGAGCGACATGTTGCTGCCAGAGTCAGTCATTGCGGCCATTCAGTGAATCTATAATCCCTCACCGTCAACGAGGACTTCGCTGTCCGAGACCAGTTCAATGTTCGAGAACTCATAGCTGGGGACCCTGTCCGCCCTTTTAATGAGCTATGAGTGGCCTCACCACCAAGAAGTAAGAGAATAGAGTCCTGGAGGAAGCGAAGCGGAGTGACTCAAAAGGAAAATAATATGGAATGACGCCTCGGTTGTTCACCGCCTGTCGATCATCACCAAGATTGATAAGAGTCATTTATGTCCCCCATATCCACTTATGTCCGAGTAGTTTTATGGCCGAATAGAAGTCCGACTGGGTTTTAGTTGAATGTGTTTGAGTTATATAGAAGACTGCATGTGGGATGTTCTGCACTGTTTGAACATACAATCGTTGCACTAAGCTACCTCGTAATTTTCACAAGTCTTAAGTATAACTTATCTAACTTTATATCTTCTGTCAATTTGCCTAGCTACTAGTTACTTTCATGTCGTTATGCCAGGCTATCTTGCATATCATTCACTTGGGGTAGGTCAACTGCCTCTAACGAGCCCTGGAGGGGTTGGGCACTAAATTACCAGCCATCCCTGCAAGTATACAGTATAAATGGCCTATAGATGCCCTCCTTACCCTCCTAAAAGCACAAATCAACAAGAAAAGCCGCATCTTACATTTAGATAGAGTCTATGACATATATGATCTAACTGAGAATGTTCAAAATAATCATCGTCAACCTTATTACGGATACTCCCAGCATACTCCGTACTCCGTATTGACCTACAGGTACCTCCAGGACCCCAGAGCTGACCCCTCTAAACCCTTTCAAGTACTCCTGCATGAGCACAGCCAAGCAAATCCAAAGCTTATGCATCAATCTCAAGGATCCCAGTGGACCCGGGGATTTAAAGAAATGCCACTAGAGTTGCATATAGAGGAATCTGGGGATTCTAGAAAAACCAGACCGCTTTGGGGCAAAGGTCACGGTACCGAGTGGTACTTCGCTGAGGAGCAGAAACCGGGCGGGAACGTGGTATTGGTAGGTTTCTGTACTTGGACCCCCCGCCACTCAAAAAGTCCCTTCCGTTTCACTCTGCCCTCTTGATCAGCTTCTCGACAATTTTGAATACCGTCAGATCGGAGTAAGTGTGCGTCATATCTGGACGACTTTCCCCCCCTTCATCCCATGCGGCCGGTCGCACCCCCTCCTTGCGCACAACTCTGTCGCAAATTCTTATCTGCAACACTTTGGCCTCAAACCCCTTTTAAAGTCGGACAGATACTACTCACCTTGTTACTTGTTGTCTTTGTCCTTTGTGGCCTAAATCACTTGCATTAGACTAATCCCCACTGTTCTAGATTGACCTCCCCCTCGATCTCCATCCGCGCCACCAAGCCGGGCCCCCCTGCCAATCGATCGTGGGCTAGTCTAGTACCCTCGCAAATTTCGATTCCAACCGTCACCACAATCTATACTTAGTTCGCTTGCCAATTCTTCGCCATGTCCGACCAGAGCGAGTACCCTTCCGAGTCCATTGGATCCGACAACGGACTGAGGCCACTCTCCAATGTAGACGATTTGTCCCTAGGAAACCCTAGTAACAACGACCTGTCTCGCATCATGAACCGTGCCGGCATTGCGTTGGCCAATGGCTTCCCCCTTGATGATGACGAGGACGAAGAGGATGTGGATGAGGATTACGTTTCGGTCGACCAGGACGACGCAAATGAGTTCCCATACTGGTTCCGTCGCCCGCCCACTCACCACCGCACCAAGCTGGATGAGCTGCACCCATTTGTTCAGTTGCTGTCTGTCTCAAATGTCGAAGACTGTATCAAGGTCGAAAATGCTTTCCCGGAGCCGGAGCGTTGCTCGCGTGACAAGGTACGGCTCCCCCTGCGGATTGTTACAAAGCCACAATATCGAAATAGATCATGCCATGTGCTAGATCTGATCGGAATGGCTGTGCTCGGATATTAGCACAAAAGAAATTTGGAGACCATTACTAATCTGTTTCTTTGTTAGTTTAAATATCGTCTCACTAGATGCCCTGAGCTTAGTCTCGGTCTTTTCACTCTCCCTCTTCTTGGAGAGGGAGAGCCCAAGCCCCGCCCAACGCTTGTTGGGCATATCATCGCCACTCGCACTTCAGAGCCGCTTGTGACGGATCGGTCTATGCGCCTTCCGGACAACTGGCAAAATGAGCGTTGGTCCTTTGAGGACTCCCAGGCTGTTGGCCACGAAGAAGGTGGCAGCACCATTGCCATCCACTCTCTCGCCGTTGAGCCAGAGCACCAGGGCAAGCAAGTCGGAAGCACCCTGATGAAGGCTTATATTCACCGTATTCGGGAGGCCCAGATCGCCGACCGCATTGCAATCATTGCGCATGACCACCTGATTCCCTTCTATGAGTCGTTTGGCTTTGAGTCCCGCGGTCCCAGCAAGTGCCAGTTCGGTGGCGGTGGATGGGTTGATTTAGTATGTTATTTGACAATTCAGACAATATCAATTGATACTAACCTTGGCTAGGTTCTGGAGTTTGGCCCTGAGCCGCAGGAGTAGTTATACGCGGGTTTTTATTTTGCATCTTTACGGCGTGGACCGTGTTAGGCCACTGTTGGGTTTTCTTCTTTTCTTTTTGGTTTTATCATGCCCCCTATTATGCACGTTCATGTCCGGTGGGTTCCTATAGGTTCGAGAGAAAAGCAACGGAGTTTGGGGTGGGATTATGGCCATTCAATTCAGTTCTACGGATGGGATAGGAAAAGGCTTCCCGACCCAAGGCTTGTTTATGTAGCATAGTTACAATGCAATGTACATGAACACAGCCTGAATTGAGTAATTAACCCAGCTATCTTCTTAAAGTCTTCTTAATAAGTTAAGCTGTTTAACTACTTGCCCAGGTGTTTAGCAGATCTTTGCTTTACGTCACGTGATTGCCCATCACCATCCATCCAATCCCAATCCCCGCATTTGCCTCCCGCCCGGCAGAAAAGGATTGCCAACAATTTTTTTTCGCGGAGAAAAACCCACTCTATCAACACCCATTCACCTCGGGATTACTTCAAGGGTCATTACTCGTTTGACTTTTGATTGTGCCCATCATGAAGACTACGTGGAAGGATGTGAGTTTCCCATTCCTCACCCTCCTCGTTTTGCTCCGCTAATGAGTTTCACCGCTTGATTAGATTGCGCCAGTGCCCACAAACCAGGAGTTCCTGGATATTGTCCTGAGTCGGACTCAGCGACAGTTGCCCACACAGATTCGTGCTGGTTTCAAAATCAGCCGTATCAGAGGTACGATCCCTATGAGTTTTGGTCCGACATGGAGGAAACGGCAAATTGCAGAAAAAAGTTATCGCGGTTATCGATAAAGCATTGCTGACTGAATTTTTTTCCCTTCAGGTTTCTACACCCGAAAGGTTAAATATACCCAGGAGACTTTCTGTGAGAAGTTCCAGGCTATCCTCGATGGATTCCCTCGTCTGCAGGATATCCATCCTTTCCGTAAGTTTCGTTTCTTCTGTGGTGATGTTCGGGCGGGGTTTAACATCCACCAGACAAGGATTTGATGAACACTCTCTACGATGCCGACCACTTCCGTATCGCTCTTGGCCAAGTCTCGACCGCCAAGCACCTGATTGAAACCGTTTCTCGCGACTACGTCCGTCTTATCAAGTATGCGCAGTCTCTGTTCCAGTGCAAGCAGCTCAAGCGCGCTGCGCTTGGTCGTATGGCCACCATCTGCCGTCGTCTTAAGGACCCTCTCGTCTACCTGGAGCAGGTCCGCCAGCACTTGGGTCGTCTGCCCTCAATCGACCCCAACACTCGTACTCTCCTGATCTGTGGATACCCCAACGTTGGAAAGTCCAGTTTCCTGCGCAACATTACCCGCGCAGATGTCGATGTTCAGCCTTATGCTTTCACCACCAAGAGTTTGTTCGTTGGTCACTTCGATTACAAGTACCTCCGCTTCCAAGCCATTGATACCCCCGGAATTCTGGACCACCCCCTGGAGGAGATGAACACCATCGAAATGCAGTCCATCACCGCAGTTGCCCATTTGCGCTCCGCTATCCTCTACTTCATGGATCTCTCCGAGCAGTGTGGTTACTCTGTCGGTGACCAGATCAAGCTCTTCCACAGCATCAAGCCTCTTTTCGCCAACAAGATTGTGTTCATTGTTATCAACAAGATCGATGTGCGCCGTCCCGAGGATCTGGAGCCTGAGTACCAGGAGCAGCTCCAGGAGATCCTCAAGGCCGAGGATGTCGAGATGCTGCAGGCTTCTTGCACCACCACCGAGGGTGTGACCGCTGTCAAGAACGCCGCCTGTGACAAGCTCCTCGCTGAGCGTGTTGCCCAGAAGCTCAAGTCTGGCTCTAACAACGCCACTCCCGGTGGCCGTCTCGGTGACGTTCTGTCCCGTATTCACGTTGCCCAGCCCATGGGTGGTGTCCGTGAAAGCTTCATCCCCGAGGCCGTCAAGGAGCTCAAGAAGTACGACAAGAACGACCCCAACCGCCGGAGACTGGAGCGCGACCTCGAGGAGGAGAACGGTGGTGCTGGTGTCTACAGCTTCGACATGCAGCGCGACTACACTCTGGCAGACAAGGAGTGGAACCACGACAAGATCCCCGAGGTGTGGAACGGCAAGAACATCTACGACTTCGTGGACCCGGACATCGAGACCAAGCTCGCTGCCCTCGAGGAGGAAGAAGAGAAGCTCGAAGCCGACGGCTACTACGAGTCCGACGAGAGCGTGGAAGATGCCGAAGATGCCGACACCCGCATGAAGGCCGATCTGATCCGCGAGAAGCGGGTGCTCCTCCGTAACGAAGCCAAAATGCGCAAGTCTCTCAAGAACCGCGCCGCCATCCCTCGCAGTGCCAAGGCCAAGAAGCTCTCCGAGATGGAGAAGGGTCTGGATTCTGCCGGCTACGATATCGATGCCGCTGGCTCCCGCGCCCGCAACCAGAGCCAGGCCCCCCGTGGCCGCACCTCCACCCGTGAGGCAACCCGTGACGATGACGCCATGGACATCGACACTCCCCACAAGGCCCTTGCCCGCGCTAAGAGCCGTGCCC